CCTGCAGGGAACCTGCTTTTAGAGGGGACTAGAAGATTTCCACAGGTCCCTCCCAACCCCCGTGATTCTGTAATACTCAGTCTGAATTAGTTCTACACATTATAAAACAAGTCATACATCATACAACAAGAATATGTAGCCTAAAAAGCCTGTAGTATTTTATAGTATTTTATGATGCAGCATTCCCAGCTGCACAAATAATAATACAGGTATTGCTCATGTAAGCATGTCTCTCTCTTTCTCTGTTTCTCTGAAAATGGTTGGGACACCACATGACACACCACAATATTTTCAATAAGTTATGCATGCTTAGTATTGTAAAAAAAAAAACCACAAAAAAACTGCATGGAATGCATCTGTATGGAAGTCAGATTCATAGACATCGCATAGGACAAAATATGACAGGATGCTCATTAAGAGGCCACACATAACACACACACTGTTCTGTAGTTTATATATTTTGGCTTGCAGTACAAAAGGTTTAAATGCTGTCTGTCTACTGATCATTCAGTCAACAGTCCACTATTTTTTCTGATTTTATTAATACTTTATGTACTTAGCTTCAAATAAATTCTATAAATTTTTATGAGTATGTTAACAATGAAATACCAAAGCTGCCTGAGACTTCACTATTTCTCCCTGTTCAATACCAAGATATGGAAAACATCCCTTTAGCTACTATCCAGCCTAAACCACTTAAAATCATGATTTAAGTAAATTGTAATGTAGTAAAAACATGATTCAATTGATTGCTGTCATTAAGCTTTGCATTGTCTCAATGCAAAACAAATCCAGAAATGTTCTACAAGTGAATGCAAAATAAACACGTCTTTGAACTGTTTGTGAAAATAACAATCTCCTATGTACATATAAGGGGGAATGAATGGAAGATCACAGAGACATGGGTACATTTTAGACATAGCAGATCTTTTAAAAGATGGTAGACTTCAAAGATACTTTTATTTTGCTGCCTCCGTTTAGATCACACAGCCCTCATTTGCTACATGACAACATTCAATAGCAGAAGTATGTCAAATAATAGTATGGCAAAATGAAAATATAAGCCTGCAGCCTCAGAAATTTCTGAAACATTATACATTTTGCTACAAAGAGGATAATTTGCAGCAACTTATTTCACTTACATTAAAGCAATGAAATAAGTCTGATTAAGAAGCACCACAGCTTTTGCAGTATGACCAGTTACGTAAAGACACACAAACGTACTTTTTCCCCTGCATCAGGTGAAAGCAGATTTCCATTAATCTCACAATACAGTTGCAGAGATATGGACAAGCACTATAATTTTCCCTTTTTGTTTCAGTGAACAGAAAGTGCTGACATAAATTTTTCTGTTATCACTCACCTACTTGTCCATTTCCTCACACTTTCTAAAAAAATCAGCAAATCATGAGGATAACAAAAAAGACATGAGTGATTCAGATTGTTTAACTTTAGTTTCCAGGAACAATCTACACATAGCAGAACAGTCCTAGAAGCACTCCTGAAAACACATGTATGCAGAGTGCATCACTGTACAATCCAGTGTATTCCTTCCTGTTCTTACTGTGCAAGTACAGTTTAACTTGGTGCTGAGCTATTTCACTCAACAGTGAAGAAGAGGCATTATGACATTTGCTATTGCTTTCAATAGTTCTCACAATTTAATTAATGTTCTGGCTTCTATATTAGAGTGGGGTGTTGACTCCCAAGTATTTACGTAGAAACGGAACAACTGGAGTACACTGACATCCTACATTGGGCTTACTGAAAAGCCTGTAAGTAATTCTGAAAAAAGGCAAAATAAGATTTTCTGTCCCACCACTAGAGCCTGCATGAACTAAATTTGGTTGACACAAGAATCTTTTTCATTCTCTCAGTTTTCATCCATTATGATTATCTATTTTTTCTAATGTATTTTAATTTACTTGAAGTTGTACACTAAGTAGATGGGCAACACTACTGTCCCTCCCTTTTTAGTAATACTTGTACATCTCTTCAACTGAACCAGCAAATCAAATGCATGACAAGCACAAATTATTAAGATTGCTAACAAAACAGTTTCTTTTTTTTCTTTTTTTTTTTTTCCTTTGTTTTTTTTTACTGGTATGAATTTGCCTCTTACCAAATACATACAAACTAGTCAAGTTAGAATTTTCTAAACATCCAGAAACATTGAAAAGCAGGAATTAACTTTATCAAATTGCAGAGAAAGAAAAAGGTGGCTCTTTGGGCTGATTGGTAGGATTTATTTTTTTTTTAATAAAAGAGGCATTGAAGTTAGAAGAAGGGAGACGTGAGAGCTGGGATATGAATTTTTGGGGCATTTTGAATGTTTGATAATAACTTGACCCCCTACTTTGAGTACCCAGAAAGGACAATACAATTCTGACATTTTTTGTAATAAAGGAATCAATATAACTTTTAACTCTAGCTCTATCCTGCCAACCAAAATCAATATATGAATCAAAAGCAATGTTTTGAGTCTGGTGCTTGACATTAAAATTATCTCCAACTAAATAAAAAATGTGTGTCTTCCTGCTTTCTTAATAATTCGATTTTCACTTCTAACTTTGATTTTGAGGGACCATTTACATTGCAATCAGGCTCAAGGTCACTAGCCCTTCTCACATACAGTCGCATAGTATCTTACACCTTAGTACCATGTATGTTAGACATGTATCTGGAAAAGGAAGGAACAAGAGCTCTTATATCTATACTCAGTCATATTTAAACTTAGCAACTGAGAATGTCTGCAAGAATGTACTTTTTCAAAGTCCCGTTTTTACAGACATCTCCAAAGGATAAATGGCCTGTGGAAACAGCAAATCATCAGAGCAGTGGGAAAGCAAAGTATGATTTTGTTTCACAAAGGTTAAATATGGAACAAAACAAGAATGGCAAGTAGAAAGATTGTAAACTTGTTTAAAACTTCAGTTTTTACACTTCTACAAACTGATTTCAGCAGTTTCAGAATATTATCGAAGAGTTATTTCAATGACTTGTGCATGCACAGTGCTTTTTATTACCTAACACTGACAGTATCAGACAAATATTCAGTAACATAATTTGAAGTTTAATAATCTTTCCACTCATAAAGTCAGTTAGTTAACAACAGAGAATAGAAAATATGATAAATTTTTTGGGACTAGTCTTTTTCTGTTCTTGTGTTGCCTAGAACCAAGATACTTCAGACACTATATGCTGAAATAGGTAGATGTAAGTTAGTCAGTAGTCTGACTTGCTAGATAATCATTCACCATGTAGAAATTGGGGAGAACTTTGGTGCTTTGGAAAATACAAACAACACATACACCTGTATTCAGCAATTCAGAATATACCTAACAAAGGAACATCTACTCATTGAGACTGATCACGTGAAAACTCAATACATTTGTCACCAACTTCAGACATTGTTTTTCTGATACGTTTTTTTAAAAAAAGCAGGTTTTCTTTCTTTAATCTAAACCAGTTCAGTAGGGGATATTTGTATTAAGTCATGGGAAAAGACTTTATTACTGTCCTGCTGGCTAGTTTTCACTGCTAACACAGTGAAACAATCCCAAGAATATTCCAGAAACAATATACCAGAAACAGTTTGGAATCCTTAAATTATTTCACTCTGCATGAAAATCATCTAGCCTCATCAATCAAGTGAATAACATTTTTCTGCAGCACAAACAGAAGTATCAAATACTTCAAAGGAGGCTTTCCTATGATATACTTGTAATGAATATGGTTAACATTTTGGATGACATTTCATTGCTTTTCAGTAACTTAATTTTTTGTCCACTTGACTTTTTTGGCCAAATTCAATTTAACGTTGCTTAAATAACTATATGTATTTTATTTTTATTTTTATTTTTGGTACTCTTTTTTTCTAACTTATCTAATTAGGAAAATATAATTATATATTTTTTCAGACTATTCTGTCTTACATTTTTTACAGTCAGTGATTATCACATCAATGTTCTTTAAGACACATTCACCTTTTCAGTTCAATAAAGTCAGCAAAAAATGCTGATGTCTTAAGTTGTTTGTATTACAGCTGCTAACACCAATTGTGTGCTTTGGTGTCACTTGAGGAATAAACTGTAAGAACCATCAGTAGAAGTATTAATTTCAAATAATACTAGCCACACAGGACTCACTTGAATTGCAAAATATACATGTATTATGCCTTGCTATCTACATTTATGAAATGCGATATCAGCCTGATTATAATCTACCTTATGATGCACAGATTTTCAGCTTGGAATATTACAAGGGGGAAGAAGTTCTAGACTAAATGTATAATCTCCTTTTTCCTTTGATTTCCTGGCATAAAGACAATGAGGTGGGAAAGATAATTATTTTTGTAACTGCAGAAAGGCACTACTACACAAACCCAGCATAATTATCTACATTAACCAACTACATCTTGCAGTTTGGTTTTGTATCATTAAAACTCATACAAGTCAGTACAGTTTTGAAAGTTTGATCAGGCAAACCTTTACTTGTGGTAAGATGAGCTTCTAAACACAAGGATCCCAATTTCATTCTAGTACAAATTGCCATAACAAGTAATTTTATCACCAAGTGGCTCATAAAGTTAAGAAAAGAAAACACAGTACTAGAGTATATTTTCATTATGTCCGTTAACTGCAATGGGAGTATCACATTAATTGTGAACTCAAATTATCTCTTCATTCAGCAGCAAAAATGACCAAGTTCATTCTTAGTTTCTTTTTAAGATATTCTGCACTTAGGGAATTTATTAATATAATACAGAGAAACATTCCCAATAAAAAAGAAAAACTAAACAATTTATCATAGCTTGTTTCCCTCTTTGCAAAGAGTTTTGTCAGCCTTGTGCACATTGTATATATTTTCTTAATGAGTAGGGAAATGTTCATCTGTGGGAAAAGGTAAGCAATTTGGTTACCTATTTTAGAGACACTCCGAAGTATTTCACACTAATGAGAATAGGCTACAGCTGTGCTTAATATCAGTCAGATAATTACCTCTCTCTGTCTGGGGAGTAGTGGTCATCTATTGCACGGTGTCTTTCCATTCGGTTCAGGGTATTGTAATGTGCCGCAGTGGACCGTGTCCCTCTTGGTCCCTGATCCACATTCCGACTAGGGATAAAAGAGAGCAGATTCTGAGTTCTGTAGCTGGACTACAACATGAAGTTGTTAGCAAACACGAGTTGGTTTATCTAATCTATCTTTTGTATAATTTCATATTCACCTAATTCATAGTTTTATTGTAATCTTTATTTTTGCCTATTGAAAAAAGTGCTAACTTAATGGTAGGGATATGGTTTTTTGTTTTGTTCTGATACTCAACTCAATTATTTCATTAAAATGGTACACTTTAGACAAAAATTAGTCTTTCCAAAGAAGCACATTCAATGAAATTTACCTTCCTAGATGAAACATGCACTATAAAGAATTTGCGAGGAGTTTTGAGCTTGGTTATAATATAAATATGTAAACTGCAGTAAGACACAATGAGTACTGCTGGATTTCTGGCACAGTAAAGCCTGATTAAAAAAAAAAACATAGCAACAACAACAACAAAATCCTGTAATCTAAATAAAAGAGCAACATGAACTTCTGCCAGTAGCAATAGTTTATTTCTAGTGAATTAACTGGGTATGGGAATAGGCACCCTGCTCTGGGTTGTCCCTTCTTGAGCAGAGGTTGATGAGATGGACTCAGAGGTCTCTGCCAACCTCCACCATCCTGTAATTGCATTTCTTCACTTTGGCTATTATGAAGCCAAATAGTAAGTTAGAATCAGAGAATGGTTTAGGTTGGATGATCATTTTCAACCCAGGCCATTCTATGATTCTATTTCCAACCCCCTGCTATAGGCAGGGACACCTCCCTGTAGACCACGTTGCTCAAAGCCCCATCCAGCCTGTCCTTGAATGCTTCCGAGGAGGGGGCATTCACAATCTCTCTAAGCAACCTGTCCCAGTGTCTCACCACCCTCACAGTAAATAATTTCTTCTTAAATATCTAGTCTAGATCTGTCCTATTCCAGTTTAAAACCTTTTCCCCTCATCCTGTCACTACCTGCCCTCATAAGAAGTCCCTCCCAGCTTTCCTGTAGGCTCCCTGTAGGTACTGAAAGGCCACTAGGTCTCCTTGAAGCTTTCTCTTCTCCAGGCTGAAGAGCCGCAGCTCCCTCAGCTTGTGCTTGTAGGGGAGGTGCTCCAGCCCTCTGCTCATTTTTGTGGCCCTTCTCTGGACTTGCCCCAACAGCTCCATGTCCTTCTTGCGCTGGGAGTCCAGAACTGGACACAGTTCTGGAGTTCTCAGAATTCAGTTTAATTTAGAACTAAATTTTCTAATTACCATATTAGAAATAGGTTTAATTTTTCTACCTTTCACTCTACAACATCTAGCCCGTAACTTTTCTGTACATGTTTTGATTACTTTATTTACACCAAAATTATGAATACCAAAATGGCTTTACTCCACAATTGGATGCTTTCATACACATTTTTACTCTGAAATGGTTACTGATGGTTCTCTTCTGCTGTTCAGCAACCAATTCTTATTCCTTCTTTCTCAACTTCAGTCTCTAATTCTTTTCCAGAGTCTATCATTTCATCTCATTTCATTCAAGTTTAAAAAAAAACGTAAAAAACAACTATTTCTGTTTATAGTATTATCTTCTTTTACTCCATCCTTCTTTTGACTTAAACATTAAAGCTTTCTCAACCTGTCACTTTTTGCAAAACTTCCTAAATACCTGACTTTCATCTTCTGCAAACACAGTGAAAGCTCCTGCCCAAACTACCAAACTATTAGCCTTGGTCCTGAAAATGCAGTACCATCCTGACTGCTCAAGTAGCTTTCAGTAAAATTGTATTTTTAGCTTTCTGTTCTAAATAAATCAGTTCTCCTTTAGATTTCTCTATTATATCAGGCTATGACTTCATGCTGCCTTCAAACATCCTACATAAATGTATTTCTTGTACTTCAAATAAAGCTCTTTCACTCTGCTAAAGATGCCTTTGTTAGCTAGATTTGCTGTTTAAGGGGAAATGTCATACTTTGTCCAATTAAATTTGTTATATAAGGAAAATTTTTTTCCCATTTTATGTATCTACTCCTTTGGAACCTTCTTGCATTTGACAGAATGTGTATGGAGTAAAGCAATGTGATCTAGACCTTCCCTGGTACAACTTGTGACCATTTCCTGCTATCCTATCATTTGTCACTGAAATCGGCACCCCCCTCACTGAAACCTCCTTTAAGAAATTTGTAGGGAGCAACGAGATCTCCCCTCAGCTTCCTATTCATCATACTGAGCATCCCTAGTTCCCTGAGCCACTCCTCATCTGTCTGTTTTCTAGTCACTTGATCAGCTTCATTGCTCTTTTCTGAACATGTTCCAGAAAATCAATCTTGTTGTAGTGAGGGAGCCCAATAGTAGTCGAGGTGCAGCCTCACCAGAGCCACTGGGCACACTGCTGGGTCATGTTCAGCTGGCTACTGACCAGCACTCTCAGGTCCTTTTCTGTTGGGCAACTTTCCAGCCACTCTTCCCCAAGCCAATACCACTGCATGGGATTGTTGTGAGCCAAGTGCAGGAAACAGCACCAGCTCATCAGTCCAGCCTGTGCAGATCCCTCTGCAAAGGCTTCCTATCCTCAAGCAGCTCAACAATCCCACCTAACTTGTTACTGTAGGAAGGGTGCACCTAATCCTCTCATCCAGATCACTGTTTTCTACCATCTTGCTTTTTCAAATGCCATCTTCGAAAAAGCTAAACACCCTATTGCTCACTGTCTGACACATTCTAACCTGATCTAGAAACACACAGTCCACTGCATACATTAGTGAAAACATTACAAATCTTCTACTGCTTTATATAAGACTTGTCCCAACCTCTGCTAAAAGTAAAACCATGCAAACTGAGGGCTGCCATGTTATATAGCTATTCGAAATAATATTTTCTTTTCAGTTATTATGCTGGGTATCATTTGTGAATTTTAAGGGCCTCAAACTATATACATTTATTAACAAGACATTAAATGTAAAAATGTTTACAGCTCTTCCAAGTAGAACTAGATCTTCATTAGATTTAAAATAGGTATTTCTGTACTCAAAAGACTATGCTGCTTCTTTTCTATGAAGTCTCATGTTCTAGCAACTCTATTCTTTGGGCTCTTAATGATTTGGGATATGGGCAGGGAAATATTAGATAAATAATGCATTTCACTGTGACATCATATGACATCATAGGAAACAGTTGAAGCTTACTCTGTAAGTTCCAAATTATATTTTAAATTCTAGTTTAAAATCAGGAAGGAAGGAAAGTTTCATGTAAACATTACCAACATACAAAATAGCAAGAAAATGAAAAGGTTTTTCAATGGTGTTAGACAAGTCTTAATTACTAGCTTAGTTAAAATACACACAAGACAGAAAATAAAAGAATTTTAAAAAGGGATTTTGACCATATTTATGTCTATCTCATGGCATCATAAAACCGTTTGAGTTAGAAGGGACCCTTAAAAAACCCTTAAGAACTCTTAAATATCCAATAGGAATAACCCCAGCAGAGTTAGCATAGGCAATTACTTAGCCTGAACTCAGTACCACTGAAAGCAGAATGGGCCTCTCTGTGTCTACTGTTTATCTAACTACCAGTATGTTACATTTAAAATAAGGCTATGCTTATGGATGCTTTTAGATTTCAAGAAGAAACTTAATTTTCTACCTGTTAGCTATGAGATAATTTGGAATCCTAATACTTCTCTAAGGGAAAATGATAACAATCTCTGTTTGTTAAGGGAAATGGTAAGTAAAAACATAAGAGAATATGCAGCCAAAAGAATCTTAAACTAACAGAAAGAACAAAAATGAAAGAAAGAAACATAGAACACAAGAGAATTGGAATGGCTGTAAAAGAAAGGAATACACACACGTACCTTACTGGGAACATTGGATACCAAATCTTCAGTATTAAATGGAAACAGTGAACATTATCTTATTCCTTTTATTTCAGCTGAATTACAGGAACTGAAAACCTACCCATACATGGTAAAAAAAAGTGCTGGAACACAGGTTTAATTCCCCTGACAACTACATTCTGCTTCCTCTTAAGAAATCTTATCCATACAGATAAAGTTTTAATTATTTCTTAAAAAGTATACTGAACCAAACAGTTGCAATTATCCAAATTGGTCAGGTTAGAAGAATTGTCCTGATCTTGGTTTTACAAGACATCACAAACCTTCCAAATGAAGAGTTGATTTTTTTCAATATGAAACCATATGTATGACAAATTATTTTTGATGTTCTAAACGTTTGAAGAAGAAATGTAGAAAGAAAGCTGCTATGTGAAGTATGGCACTGCCAGCATCTTAATTCTTCACAGACAAAAAGATTGAAAACAGCCACTGATGAGAACTATGAGCTAGAACAGTGAGAAAATGTCAAACCATCAGAAAGTAAAAGGCATCTTCTAAATAGCTCATGAAAATAAAAATCTGGAGATGTATTTTTCTTTCTTTAGACATAAAATCAGATGAACTTCCAGACATCAATATAATGTAATAAAAACATTACTGACTTTATGCAGTTTTATAAGATCTAATCAATTTGTTCCCATTTTGAAAGTCAGGAGATTGTTTCCAGTATTTTTACAGAATCAATAGCACTTCAGTTTATATACCTACATGTTTCAGTAACAATTTACCTTTGTGGGGGAGGGACACTGGGAGACCATGATCTCGTCCGCCCTATACTATCTCCACGGTGAGGGGACCCTGATCGAGAGCAATGATTAGATGACATAACTTGCTCCGGCACTGATAGCGTTGAACTTTGGAGATCTCTTCCATTATGTCGATAGTCTGAAAAGAAAAGCAAATATTCAGTTAATCTGAAGTTTCAATTTTTAATTTCCTACCACACCTGCAGCAGTTGTAAGCATGATAACTGATGGATTCTGATCAAGAATATTAAAAGGGAAAGAATATCACACCATCACTGCAATCATTATAGGACAATGACCTTAAAGAACAGACATTTGTTTGTCACTTCATATCAATCAAGTAATGCTATGTAGCTGGGAAAAAAAGAAGAAAAAAAAAAGCTTCCCTTTTGCCAACGTGTCAAACTGTCAAACATTGAGAAGTAACAGGTTTGGTAAAGCAACCTGCTAAGAGGTTGAAATTCAACATCATCTTTCCATTCTGTGGAGTTAATATAGCTCTCTGCCTCATTTCATACTAAGTATTTTTACCAGCTAGAAATCAAAAGAACATAAAATGCAAAATCATTTGCAATCTCATAGTGAAAATAACTACATCATACTTTACAGAACATAACTTTCTATGAGCATCCACAGAATTTAATATTTCCATTAAATAAAACATCCATATTTTGAAGCTACCTTACTAGAAAAAAATGTGTTTAATGAAGATACAAAAAGAGCTTAGGGACAAATTAAGAAAGTTTCTTAGGTTTCTTGACTATTTCCAACACTTCACAGCTAGAACAAAATCAAAACTGCAAAAGAGAGCATTTCCACTGCATGAATGCATAAAGAAGATCAGGTATTTCAGAAATATGATACAAAAGGTTGTTAACATAGCCATGAAGACAAAGGTCACAGAAGATGCTTTGTTTTCAACTTAGTTGCTAAAATCAAGGATGCATGGAAGATGCTCCCATCCCTTCAATATGCAAAGCTCTGTACCAACCTCTGATAAAAACTATCCTACAGTATTTTTTTTAGAAGAACTGAGTAAGGAAAAGGTGAAAATGTTTTTTCCACTTCTTGGAAAGATAGAAAACTAAGAAAACTGCTACAAAAAAGATATAATCATGTACAAAACTTTTAAATGCAAAAGCCAAGAACATAGCAAGGTTCTTGATCAGCTTTAGACTTTAATTAAGTCTGTCTAAGGTTAGCTTTGGCAGATCAGAGTTACAATGCTGGTCTTGAAAGCACTCAGTACCAGCATATAATAGTTTAATGATTCACTGGTCTTTGAGTCTTTATATTCATTTAAAAATATGCTTTCTCTATCTAAAATATTGGAGAAAAAAATTCAAAGTATTATTTTTTATTAGAAGTTTAATTGCTTTATTTAGTATTTTCATTGTTATAAACAAAAGCAGATTTTGAAAGTTCAGTGTAATAATCTGTGATTACCATGAGCCACAAGAGACGCACAGAGAGCAGCGAGAGACAGCTCTTCAGCTACAAAGCTACAGCAAGAAGACAGGGACACAAAGCTTTCATGGAAGGCTCAATTAAATCGCCATCAGTGATCTGTACACTGGTCAACATCATAATAAATATGTTTAGCAATCAGTGCCAGAGTTCTTCTAAACTCTTAACAAACCTCAAAATGCTATTGAAGACTGAATGACCAGGGTAACTGGTCATGGTAACAACTGACGTGGTAACTTTTGGTACTTCCAACATGAGAACATAAATCTCCTTAAAATGTGATTGGTTTTGCTTGCACAGGAGTTGGAACACTCATGTCTCTCCCAAAAGAGATAACATTCCCAAACTTACGGTAACATTCTCAATTGGAGAAGGGACAATTTAATTTCCAGGCTCAAAAATATTGCGGGGTCCCAGTGATAAGATTAGAAGAGTGAAATAAAAATATTATCCTGCTGAAATTATACAGAGACAGTAAAAACAGGTCTAAAGTGCAACTTGACCATGGAGCTACTATAGAGCAAAGATAATTATAGCAGTAGTAAAAATAGGATAAACACCGGAATCTGCTTGCAGCTATAAATATTAAGTCATTACCATAGAATCAAAGGCTCTATAACTATAGCAAGCCTCTTAAAGTACAGAGCACACAGAACCTGATAATCAGTACAGAGATAATCAGAGATAAACAACTGAGAGCTGTGGACACATAAAAGATGGGCACATGACAGAGACATCTGCAATGCAACTGCATTTTCATGGGAGGGCTGCATCAAAAACTGTCATACATTTCAAATTAGGGATTTCATAAGGCACACTAAATATAGCTTCCAATGAGCTGAAGTTTTCACTTTATCTGTTTTAAGAGAGAATATTAATACATTTGATTTAAAATACTCATCCACACAGCACAGCTGTTCTGTACTGATATTATGCTGTGCAGTTCACTAAATACTAACAAATTGTTATCAAATTTTGCAGCTGTCATGCACAAAATTACAGAAGATCACAGACCTCCAAATATGAAGTTCACATGAACAGCACTACACTAACACCCCCAAGAATCCTGAAGCATCTTAATGAAGCTTTTAGTTTAGGAGTCTTGATGCTTGACTGACTCGAGAGAAACTATATGAAAATAATTCTAGAAAAGCAATAATTAGAATTGCTATTCATCACGGGCAGACTAATGAACTTGTTTCAGACACTGATGCCGAGTGGCATTTTCTCCAGTTTAACATCTGTACTTAACTGAGGCATCAAGCTTTTTCTACATCAGTTATTTATTTTTTAACATTCACAGTGGTTGGGCTTAGAGCAAGGACCAATTAAAAACAACTACATAATCAAATTGGAAAAGTCAGAAATGTTTAGCATACCTAGATTTTATACATGGGCACTTTGGAGACAGTCCAGGTCTTGTATGCAAATGTTCTCAGCTTCTACAGTGATTTGAGCATCTAAATGCAGAATTTGGATGTCCTCTGAAAAAGTGCCAACTGTTTTTTTTTTTGGTAACTGACCAAACACATGGAATTATTCATATATGAATTTTCTGTAAATTGAAGATACATACATAGGTTTCATGGTAGGGTTTTCTGCATCAGAATATTATTCTACAAATAAAAGTAGAATGAATGCACACTGAAAGAAACTAGGAAGCTTAATAGTAAGATCAAATGGTTACTTGTGTCACTGTAACACACTTTCTCACCAAGTGTTTTTTTACCTACACTGCTGATGTGCAAGGGCCAGTTACGCTTGAGACGATTTTTCTGATCATTAACATGTGTGGAAAGTGTTTTCACATAGTAATAAACTGGAGCATGGTGCACTGTTCAGTGCATACATCCAACAACACACAGCGAAGTGGTGAGTGCACTGCAGTTGGGAACAGTAACTCTTCCATATCAACAAAAACAAGACAACTCTGCAATATTTCTGTCAGTTGGACATCTCTACAACAGAACTATCTTGAGTAAATATTTTTGTTGAAGTTCACAGCTGTCCTGTAGATGTTTATGAGTGCTACGTTCTTTAGAGAAACAAAACAAAATTTTCTACTGGAAGAAGCTTGGAGAAGTTCTCTTTAACAGAAGGCTACATTATTCAGTATGTCCAATAGGACTGTCAGCTAACCTAAACATTTTTAGCTTGTGACAGCTCAACTTTCAAGTCATCTGCAGAGGTTTTGATTAAACTGGGGATATGCTCCAAACAGCTCAGTTGTATCCATGAGATCAGATTTCCCACAGGACGTCTTAAATGATCTCATTGTTCAAACATGACTTTCAAAATAGTGAATGATAGATATATAGACTGAATGAAATTCAAAACAGTGTATTTGACCGATACCAGGGCAAGCGCTGTAGACACCTCCTTCATGTGTGGGAAGCTTTCTCAACGAAGATTGAAATCTTCACTCCTTCCCGGCTTATGTTAGTGCTACTAATTATTACTGAAATCATTTTCGGGAAAAAAAAAAACATATATAGCACAAGTAGAAATAACTTGTAGATTCTGAAAGACATTACACTATTTCTTGAGATATTAAGCCTTGGAATCCCAAGGGGCATGTGCAGGGTCTGTACTTTAAAGAATTATAACAAACCAACCAACCAACCAAAAAACCTTACCAAATTAATTTGTCAATAGGATAATTCTTTAGGTCTACAGTGTAATCTAAACAGTGTGTAATCTAAATCTCAGAAAGAGAGATATGTCACGGATACAGTATTATTTTCTATTTATTTCTATTTATTTCAGACATATATATCAGTAGTCTTCTCTACTGTGGATTAAGTTGTTATTTGTACATAAGATTTATGTTATTTCAAGGAGATCAGCCACGTAACACATTTTGTAAATGCACAGGAATTAAGATGAAGAACTTCAGTCATTATTCTGAAGAATATCTGAATATCTCATCAGGTGTTTTGAGAAGTGAAGCAAAATGAATAATTGCTTTTCATTTTTCCTCAAAAACCAAATTGATTTTGTAAGTTCAGTAAGAATTTCTTTACTGGTTGTTATTTTTTCTAAGCTACCTAGCTCTAACCATCTTCTGAATAAATATCTCATTAGTATTCTTATTTTGCTCCTGAAACATCTAATTATCTTTTGAATGATGATAATAGCTTATCATTATAAATGCTTTTCTGCTGGGGACTGCAATTTTTCTCTTGGAAAAGCTCTTCTCTACCGACCTGCAATAGCGTTTATGCAGAATTCTGCACCTCACATTCTTCCAGGACTCATCCATTCAAACATATCTCAGATTACATGTGTCTCATGAAGTTAAGTTGTACAGATGAGGCATTGGTGTAGACTGGAATTTTAAAAAAATCATATCTCACTTTACGACTTACAACAGTGATATGTCAGACTTACGATTAAATGGTGTGGACAATCAATTTCGTTTTTCTTTATAAAGGCAGACTTAGTAGGCTACTTCTATGCAGTAGTTTACTGCAGGTTCAGCAAACACTATGCTGAAGCTCTTGAGAAAATAACTAGAAATTGCAGTCCATAATTGCTGAACTTGGTTAACCATAATGCCCATTAAAATTTGATCAATACGAAGAAAAAAACCCAAACACCTGCTTTTCACTGAATTGTACTAAATATTATAATTGAAGTGATGCCCTGGAGAACAGGATCTCTCTAGAATCAGTATAAAATCAGTGTACTGCTGGCTATGGGCAGCCTGGTCTGGTGGTTGGTGACCCTGCCTGTGGCAGGGGGATTGAAATCAGATGATCATTGTGGTCCTTTTCAACTCAGGCCATTCTATGATGATTCTATGATCCTATGACCAATAACTACATAAGAACATTAAGAGCATTCTAAGGGGCAAATGAAGATGTTCCCCACACAGTATTGATGATGACAAACAATTTTAGGACAGTCAAATTCTATTTGTTAGGACAGCTAAATGAATGCTTTAAATGGCTAGAAGGCCACATAAAAAGCAATCTAAAAGACAAAAAGAGCTACTACTGTCTCTCCTCCTTCTATCCTCTTCAATTTAGCCAACACTAAATCCAGCAGAGATGAAGTATAATGGGGATTCTGTTCTACTATTTTAGATCTCAGTATAAATTTAATATGTATTCTATCTCAAGAGAACTATTTCTAAAACTTGTTAAGCATTTTTTTTCAAATCTGCATAAGTGTACAATATTTTAGAATCCTTTCTGACAGTGTTGATGTAGAATGCACATGTAGCCAAAATTTTTTGTTAAGTTTTTCTGTTGGTTTACCTTTATTTCCTTAAAAGTCTTTCCTGATGACAGAAGCAATGCTCTCTTCAATAAAACCAATATTTGTTACCTGTCTAAGCATTCAAAGATGCAAGCAAGCAGAAGAGAAAGCTTTTATGAATAATTTTTCTAATACATTTGAACTTTTTGTAAAAATTAAGGAAAAGTGTGAGAAACAGACATGAGGATTTTATCACCAGGAAATTAAATCACTGCATCAGAATTGCCGTAACAGCAATAAGAAACAACTGCAGGTACACTAAAAATATTTAGATTATGATGCAAAGAACTGCAGCATATAAAGTTCCTTCTCTTTCAGCAAGTATAGTCTTAGACAATCACACTTACAGGTGCACATTAACTGTTTTCAGATATTCAGTTGCTGTGTTCCTATCACCAGCTTATTCAAAGGCAGACGTTTAACTTTACAGGATCAATACCAGAGAACCTACATAAAAGGATGTTTTGTAGAAAGATAAAATTTCAGCTACAATCAGGAACATGAAAAAAAGTGTATTTTAAATAACTATAAATAAGTAGTAAATAATGAGATCAAATAATAACCACACTGTTTTGAATAAAAATAAACTAAAGAGGAAACAGAAGGGAATTCTTTTCTTAAAGGCTCCTGGAAACAAGTTAGATAACTACACATTGGTCTAGTACACTGAATAAGCATGAATTTTATGGAAAGGATCACTGAGAGGACTCAATAGATGTCAGCAAATATATTTGGTGTGATACAGTATTTACATGTCAAAAGATTAAAAGCAAAGTGAAGTGTCATGTTAAATAAAATCTGAAAATACAAAATGAAAGAACTGGGGTACTAAGAAAGAAAGAACAAAGAGAGACAAATGGCTGAAGTTTTGCACTGCAAAGAAGGCATGTATTTAAATCAAGATTGTGATGAGTCTGCAAACTGAAGAACCTTAAATGAGAGAAGGATGTGGATGGTAAGATAAAACAAGGATAAATCAAAAGACTTGTAAATGTAGTGACAGCAGCACAAAAAAGGAAGGCAATAAAAATTTCAAAGCTAAAAGAACATCAAACTCTTCCAGCTACACAGTTGGTCTGACTCAAAATGCAACTAAGTTGTAGAATTGTCAGCAGAAATTAAAAAGCTAAGAGATCTTGCAGGAACTAAATGTACATTAAAAACTTAGGGAAGTAGACTCATTCACTAAACTGTAAAGTCTAATTCTTCCATGGAGATGTCAAAATAGGAATTAAACTATCTACTTCCTGTAAAAGGCTACCTAACATAGATTAGATTTTAGTGACCACTTTAACAGTTAAACAATATAAAATTAGATAATGGAAAACAGATAAATCAATTCTCTATGCAGTGTTTTCCTGTAGTACTGCCAGGAAAAAAATAAAGATTTCATTACTACTAGAGGATTCATGGCCATTCAACATAGTGCACCCTAATTTATATTAAAATATTTCACAAATGCCTGAAAAGTAAATGAAATTCAGGAGAAATGAGCTATCATCTCTATATAAAAGTCAGCCTTCAGAAATAACTAAAAAAAAAAAAAAAGTTGAAAATCCAGCTATTTGGTTGAAATCCTGATGATTCAGGCACCTATTACATCTCTGCAAAAATATAATTTCTTTTAAGACAACAGAGATTTGAGCTTCAAAATGGCACCATGCTGAGCATTTCAGATAAACATCAAATTTTCATTTATTCCTTTTTCTTAATAGTCCTTTCCAACTCCTACAATTCTGCAATTTTGCAAATCACAAAACTTGGTTTTGTTTGCTTGCTACACTTTTAATTTAACTGACTGGCCAGACTATGAAAATCCATCCTTTTTGGAGGACAGGCAATCTGAAAGCCTTACTGACACACATACGTAAGGATAGCCAAACTTAGACTGGAAGTACATGGGTTCCTTAAAAATTAATGCTTTCTATTTAAGTCCACAGAAACTGCAACAGATACAAAGAACACAATAACACTATCTCATAGAGCAAATTCTCATCTACAAAACTTTCTTTTCAACATAGTCACCATCAGCAATGCATTTTAACCACTGAAGAATAAGAGTTTGCATAACAGCTATTGTTTAAGACAGGGCTGTGCAAACTCAACTGATTAGGTAGCTTATAAAGATTTGGATTTATTTGGCAGCGCCTCATCTTGTAAAAGCCACGGTTGCCTCCACTAGCTTCTTTACCTTCCTCTGTCTCCTTCCCACACTGTAGTCCTGTTGCTCTGACTCATGTCTTCTATACACCGTACTCAGCCTGCCATCAGCATACTTAAACCTGACATAAAAGTTGTACACATGCTTTTAGGTGGCCTTTTAGCTGGAATACTTTTGACTGAGCAGCTGACCACTGCCCTTCAGCTGCTGGACAGACCAGGGAGCATGTTCTGCTCGATGTTCACTGTATAAGATATGTAAGCCACTATATAGGAACACTAAAGCTAAACTTGGCCCAAAGGAGCCAGAACACAGACCAAGTGTGATAAAAAGCTCAATACAGCAGTACTGTAATTGAGTGCACACTGAGCTGTGCAGTTAATGCTGTACTGGTACCTGTATCCAACAGTACTGACTTAAAGGTGACATGATTGCATGCTATATTCATTTTCTGTTGTATACAGAAGAAGCGTATAATTCCTTATTTTATTGGTTTTGGCTACAACTACAGTATAATTTGTCCTCCTTCAGGTGGAGGAAGTCTTTCACAAGATGACTTTTATCTCAAATACACATTAAACTGCCAATTTGAATACTTAATACAAACACATTATCTGTTAAGTCATCTCCTTTCCTGTCTTAAATGTTCAGGTTTCAGATCCATGGTAGTGCTACCTCTTCACCATGAAGTTTTCAAGGATACATAAAACCCCAATGTCTATAAAAAAATCTAAACCACATTTCCTACCATTTAACATTAAAAAAAAAAATAAAAACAAAAAAAAAAAAAAAAAAAAAAAAAAACCAAAAACCCACTTTAATTCTATTTTTATCATTTTTAAAAGCAACACGGAAATTCATACATTGATTTTCCCCTCTGTTGGTCATTTTTATGGTTAAATATACGTTGACCACAATACTTATTTTTGTATATGTTAGAAAAACACACTCATACGTTCAATCTATTTTTCACCAGAAAATCAGTACAAATTTCATAATAATAAATTATAAACAAGAAAAAATTCTAGTAAACTCAAAAGAATAAATTTAGAAAGTAATACCTGAAACCACACCAATTCCATCATCACAGTCATAATCAGAGACTTCACTGTCACTGATTCTTTTAGACCCTGTCAAAATAACAAAAAAAACATGTAGCAGTTATTTTCTTGTAAAACAGAGCCATCTTGAGCCAAGTCTATAAATAAATAACAAGATCTCATATCAGATAATTAAGCATTAATATAAACATAAAGAATATTATAATGATGCTTGCAGATACTTCATGTGCATATCTATTCGTTCCATATCAAGAGGCACCACAGTGTTCATCTTCCAAATTTTCACATACGAAGCATCTAAGTACCAGACAAAAAATGAATGGTAATGATCATATAAAATGAATGCAGTATTTTCTTTGGGGTATTAGTAAGCATTAACAGGGGAAAAGGCAGCTTCACACATGAAGTGTGTTCTGAAAAACAAAATCTGTCTGTGATGCTTTGGAGAATGTAAGCTATTAAATGCTATACAGGAGTGCACCTGTCAAAATAGATGGAACTTAGTTGGCAAAAGTAGGTTCCGTGTCTACAATTAGCACTAAAATGTAGATCGTGCAGGACAAATAGATGTGTTAATTTGTTTAGCTTTATTTGTCTTCTGTCTTCTATGGCAACTTTTTAACAGCATTTGATTGATGCCATCAGGACGAAACACTGGCATGTCAAAGTGGCAATGATAATTACTTATTTACATGTTTCAGTTGTGAGAATCAATGTTCTGCACAATGGTGCGTCTGCTCCAGTTCTCTAGACATCTAAAAATAGACAACTAGTAGGTAGGAAGTTTAATCTGATTGTTCAATTAGGTGTAAGATTTTATATTCCTGCCATAGGAAATGATTTATTCTGAAAAACAAATGAAAAAAAAAATCAAGTAAAAACTGAGAGTAAACCTAAGGGAGCTCAGGACAAAGCAGGATCAATGTCCTGCTTGGGTGACTGGCACAGTATGATGCCCAGCCTCACCTCCCATCAGAATACTCATAGAACAAGTGCCAACAGGGGTATGCAAAAATAAAAGCACTTCTCAATTTAAAAAGTTATTATATGAGAAATTACTTGAACCATAAAAACTGCTGTTCTCTATCAGGCTGTCTAACATCTACTTATCAAGGCAGAGGAAGGTTCTTCCTTGCTGTAAAGAGTCTCAAGGCAGAGGAAGGTTCTTCCTTGCTGTAAAGAGTCTATCAACTCTCCTAATGGGCTTTCTGCTAATCAGGATAATTTTTACAAATCAATTAAGTTTAACTAGGAAGATATTCAGTCTGATGATTTTTTTAAATTGTAGTATAGAACACCCAATGAACGTCTTTGTTGCATTACAAAGAAAGAGCCTCTATCTACTCCGCTTGTGATGCTGTACCTGCTGCTCATCTCAGCAGTCTTCTACAGCTGTGTTGATTTACATGCCATTGGGAAGAAGTACTGGGGCCGTCAGGCTCTATTCTCCTTAGCCACAAATTCAAATTCACATGATTAAATAAGATGGATTGTATTTGCTACTAAATATTTGAGCAAGAGAGTTCCATTGGTCTGGCCGGGATTTGGTTGGGAGAAAAGAGGCAGAAGTCACCAAAGGGGTGCAGAGCAGCATGATTCTGACCTCTTTGGTAACCTTGGCTCTGACTTGGAAGCAGAAGAGCAGCTGCTGTGCAGAGATGCCAACAAGCAGCTCTCGGGCTCTGCAGCTAAGCAAGGACTGGGGAATGGGAAGAACAGGCAATGGTGCTCATCACATCAATCCTGGAGGGAAAATTCACTTCTCTGAGGATGAAAATAGCCAACTGTTGTCACAGTGGCTGAAGATTTCCACTGGGAAACAAAAATGCAGGGGCCTCTCTTTCCCCTCAAGCCCCCATCCACCTTCTAGATTTTCCTAATACCTCAACTTCAAATCCCCTTCCAGGATCTAGAGACCATCTTCTCTTTTTATATACAGAATTCTGTCTTCAATCCCACCACACAACTATGCTGCAGGGAAAAGACAGGGCATTGGGAAGGTGAATGGGCCAAGATCAACACCTGCCCTACGGATGGGCATAGAGAAAGAAAAACCACATTTCAGAGCTTTCTCCAGCTACTACCCCTGCAAAGAGGCCTGTGTCTTTTAACAGCTTTAAAATGTGGTTTTAAATGTTGGTTAGAAGTTATTGAGATTTCTTACTTGGCTTTGTCTTTGGAAATCAATATTTTCAGGAAGGACAGAGGAAGGAATACATGTCTATTGAATCTAATGTCAAGAATCACTGCCTGGAATACGAAACTTCTGCAAAATAATCACATTAAACTTATATACAATATCTTCCATTAACATCAGAAATTGAACAGATTAGAAAGTCCACAGGTCAAAATCCTTTGTTGAACTGGGTATTCAAAACACAAGCATAATTGTTGGCATCATAGTTCTCATAAATTTTGCAAGAATAATTTCATATGCTATTCATTCTAGCTGGTAATATTGTTTTTAACCTACTGAAAATGTAAATTTTAATATGTAGGCTACAGTCCCTCCTTAACCATGTCTTTTCCAAATACCACTTCATTATCTTATATTCATATCAAGTAATTTGAACCATTGTCCATAAAACAGAGATAGCACTACTCATAATCTGTCTGGGAAGTGTGACAATGAAGTCTCTCATCAACAAATTATTCCAAAGGAATACTGCTAATGATGCTGTTGCTTAGTGTTTTCAATGTATATTTAATGTGTATTTTAAAATGTTTGACCAATATGTTGTCAAATATGGTGTATATTTCATAAGTAAGAAACTGAAATCCTTTCTATCAAATTCAGAATTCTGCAAAGAGTTTGAGCATGTAATACCTGGGACATTGAGTGCATCAAATAAGTGCACTCATGAAAATGGTCTGTATGTCTTTGATGCATTTTAAACATGAAGAATGATGTTAATTAAGCCTCACAGTACTTGAATGTAAGTTATTACTGAACTAATCTCAATTATAACCATTTTGTCTGATAACTGGATGTTAGCAGTTTGCAACTTCTGAATAAAAATAATGTGGAAAACACTTGTTTCTGGTATAAGCCTCAACATAAGAGCAGCATGTGAGGTTCGAAAGTTAATTGAAGTCTATTTAAATAAACAGAAAGAACATCAGATATTTTGGCTCAGAAATTCTTTTCATCTTATAGAAAGAAAGGAAAGAGAAAGCAGACCAAGCACCCAAGGAGAAGATCCTATCCATTACAACATAGGAACATTTCATTAGGTTTGGTGAACTCCTTGGTAGCATGCTTGTATGATCTCCTTCCCTGAAGCTCAAAAAAGGCCTTCACAACCATTTACAGTAGCTTAGTGCTGCCACTGTTTTTTCTATATTCAAAGCTAACACATAAGCAACCCTAAAATCAGTCTTACAACAACTGTCTTAAGAATTTATTCTCATGTTCATCCAATTTGTGCCTGAGGGTTCTTCATGCGAACTAATTTCTCCCGCAGTCTCACTGTCTGCATGCCAATCTGTCACTTCTTCCTCCTGTGGTTTTTCAAGTTTTTGACCAATTTCATCTAAATTGTCAGAAATGTTTAAATACCAAATATAATTAAGTTCCTACGGATCTTTGAAAAGGGTTGCAGAAATAAACAGAGATGTATTTGAATCAGAACCCTTTTGTGGAAAAGAAACAAAACCAAGGTAAAATTTGAGCACACACGGTGAAATCATACTAGTCACAGCAAACATGCTCTGTTCCCAAGTGAACATGTAAGACATGAGAGGGATCTAGGGATATTTCCAGAGAGAGCAGACTGGAGGAAACATGGGAGAATAAGGGTAAATGTAATGGAAACTAGGCTTTCTTAGAACTGCTCTTAAGCAATGGTTTGGGGTTTGTAGAGATCCTGCTTTTGCAGGTGTATTGGACTCAATGATCTTCTGAAGTCCCTCCCAACCCCTGCAATTCTGCGATTCCATGATTCTGTGAATTCTTTTTCTCTCTATGATAGCACTGGTTCTGTTTTCTTAACAACGTGTGCTTCATTTCTTAAACTTAACTGAAAGATAATTAAATGAACCAATTCTCAACGAGATTCTCATAATTAAAACTGCAGCAACTGCAAAAAGTCCCACATGAAAAGTGCTATGAAATTTAAGCTTGTAAAAACTCTACATTATGAATTTATGTTTAATTAAGGGAAACTTCTCAGATATGCCAACTGTATTCATAACTGGGAATTTAAAGCAATGCTAAACTGTAAAAACATGTAGCAATGCAAATACTGATTTTGGTAGTAATTCACTTACCCCAATGCTTCCGTTCTAAAAATCCTTACGTTAGTTCTCAAACAACTATGATACAACAATGATCCTTTAAATAAAGCTTAAGCAAAATAGCATTCACCTAATACAGTTAATAAAGCTTACTACAGTTCACCTATCGAAGCTCTACCTAAATTAAAGGCAGACAAAGCAAGTATAATGGTATAGTATTGCTCCAATATCAATACTGAGATGTCATGAGTAGAGAAACAAAGCCAACAAAGGACCTATGGCTGAAAAGCAGACATGTAAAGCCGAGGAACGAGCAATTTAGCATCTGCACAATAGGTAGCAAAAGCACAACAATAAAATATCAAATTAAATTTTGCATGTATGTGGAAGCAATAAGCATTTCTGGCATGCTGAAAGTTTACCTGAATTATATGAATATAAGCCTTTATCTGGAAAACAAATATTGAAATGAAGTAGTGTCAGGGAAAATTACATGAATCACTACATGTAACAGGGATGGTCAGAACCTTAAACTTCATTGTAACTGCTTCTGCAGACTGAAGAATTTGATATTCAGGCCATATTTCAAAAGCAAAAAGCTCAATCAGATTTGAGAAATTAAACCACAAAAACACCAATCACTTCTGGTTTGATATTTATATTCTGCAGACAGGGAGGACTGCAGGAGGTCAGTCATCTCCAATTCTCAAATACAGCTGCTTACTTACTGTAAGCAAGTGTTCAACTTTTTAAGAGCAAAATGTATATTCAACTAATTATACCCTTAAATGACTGTATGGTGATGTTGGCACCTTGGCAGAAGTCATTAGCAGAACTTTCCTGAGAGGTAGCTATGAATAAAAATAAATAAATTTAAATTTCACAGACTCAGTAGTGATGTTAAAGTCAATCTTTTATCTCCACTAGTGAATGATTTGATTAGGTAAAAATGCATATATATGGTAAAAATGTACATAATAATGCACAATATGTACATTGGTTAAAATGTATATACGTTAATACCACATGATTTCTGACCGGTGAACTTAAGACAATGATTAAATGTTTGCTAGATGTGGGTAATTGCTTTCATTACTTAAGTCTGACTCTTTGAGTTATTCCATCTTTCCATACAATCATGTCAGTATTTCTAAATATGATAATACGTATAGTATGCAAAACAATGGACACGAATGAAAATGTGAAATATTACTTTGCATTTGCAGAGTTTGTAGATGTGAATTCCATGAGGTAATAGGAAGAAGCCAGGATGTCAAAACAATATGAATATGTACTGGACGACCAGGTTCCTTCTGGCAAGCTGGAGTTTTTCTGACATCCAGCTAAATACTGTTTTAATATACATACAATTATCAGTAAATCATCTACTATCTGCAAATCTCGAATCTACATCTACAAATTGTATTTCTTGATAAGCAATTATTTTTTATTACCTAGCTCCAGAATTCCATTAATTTCAAATAATCAGGATTTTCTTAGAATGACTTACAAACATTTAGATCAGAGCTTCGGTGGTTACATTTTTTCTAACATTTGCATTTGTTGGCACAGGTCTATTCCAGTTATTAATTGCATGAAAAATTGACTCATCTTTGGCTAGAAAATTACAAAAAAGAAGTATGGGAAAGTTTTTTAGTTTCCTCCAGCAAAGGTCCAAGAATGTAATTAAAAATCAATTAACACAATGTATAAATTACTTATATAATTAAAAAGGATAGACATTCTGAATGCAACTTCTGGAAAGATCTACAAAATTGTAGAGCTTCTTTAAGAAGACAGGAATGTAGAAATAGTGAGATTATAATGGAGCAAGGACTTAAGGAAGCCATGTATTTTTCTATATGATTACAACAGAAAGGAAAATGAGTAATATTCCATTCATCTGAAGATTTCATCAGAATCTTTATAATTATATGATAGTTTATTATGCTACAACAATTTAAAAAAAAAAAAACGTACAATGGCTTTAACCAGAAAAGGAAGCCACTGCATAGATTTCTGTTCTTTAGAATCTTTTTAAATTTGATCCAACTATTTATCTGCTGCCTAGCAAGGTTACTTTGCCCTATACATCAAGTTGTTTCAACAGAAAACATTGTTTTCCTGTCATTACATGGCAAAATAGTTGTTTAATGACATGATTTTATCAATGAAGCAGAACAACAGAATTATATTCAATATACAAACTCCCATAAACTCCTGCAGTATTGATAGATTTTGAAATATTTTTGTAGTTTAATTACAGTTTAGTAAGGTTTATTTTTATTTTTTCAAAGATTAAATAATTTTATTTTTTTAATTGGGAAAAAGAAAAATATTTTGATAGTTTAAGGCCTTTTCAGACACCCCTGTATCATGTTAAATACCTTTTCATTAAAGTATTTAATAAACCATAGATGTACAATAAATATAAGTAAATCATAGGTGCATAATAGATCTAATACTGGTGTTTGTATATATATATATGTATATCCATATTCGATGAACAAAACATCAGTGCATGCAAACAAAGTTAACAAGGCCTGTGCTTCATAAAAGAAAAAAAAAAGAAAAATTAAGGAGAAAGCATGAAAGAGAAATATAAGCTTCATCACCTCTCTAGAGTAAACTTCTTATAAAATATTCACTGTTCACATTCTGTGCCACTGACCATAAAATGCTCCATATTATAATTTGAAGAAAAAAAAAAAACAATTGTATGTTTCTTGCTTACCTATTAGTAAAAAGCATTATTATGACACCCTCAACTAAGCTGCATTTACACTGATTTAAAATTATCATACAGACTTATAATATTCAAAACACATTAAAAGGAAATTGCTGAGACAGCAGGATCCTGATTCTCAAGTAAAGATTCTGAGTTCTAAAAAATTCCATAGCTTTCATCGGAATGCAGTTTTGCAATGCCTCAGGTCTCAGATACAGTGTCATTAATTATTATTAAACTTCAATTATTTTGATACTACCAAGATTAGCTCTATATGTTCTAGAATATAGACTTGAAATTTTAACAGTTAGAGAATGGTAAAGAGGACTTGACTTGACAGATAAAAGCACTCAATCCATCTTTGATTTGATGACAAAGTCAATGAGTATAAATAAATCAATAAAAAGCCTCAGCAACCAGCAATGACAAGTGCATCTAAAAAAGTTTCTTCAAAAATGAATAAGCAGTATGGTGAATAAGCACTTTGTGAATTCAGTCTATTAATTTGGTGTTTCTAGTTGTATGTGATAATTTTTAGCATGTTAAAGTCTAATCAAATGAACAAAACTGACCTTATTATTCAGAATATTTTGCTTATGCACTATGATTTTTTTTTAATTTCTATCTGAATGACATACCGTTTGGAAAAGTAATGCTATATATTCTACATATATATACTTCTTTTTTCAGTTGCTATATTCCTATTTTTTCTGTATTTTTCTTTTATAAATTCACTATATTTGTGCACACAGAAAAAAATTGGTACAATAATCACTCTCCCATCTCTTTGTTCAAATATGTCTTGTTTAACAGTCAAGAAAGTCAGCAAATGAAGTCATCAATGACTTCAAAAGCCAGAGCAACAACTCATCACTTTAAGAAAGCTACTTCACAGTTTTCTTATTATAGTAATTCTGATTTTGACTGATTTTTCCGGTGTTCAGATCTGAAAAAAATATCATTTTGTTGATCATTTTGGACTTAAAGATTCTGATTTCCAAACACTGTCATTTCTGAAACCCCGAAGACAATATTTTCAGCAGAGTTTATTGCACGTAGATTCACTACTTTTCCATGATGGAGAATGCTTAAAATACAAAACATCTTTTTTACCCAATACTGTGCATGCACTGCATAGTTAGGGCAACACAGCTGGTGAGTGGTCTGGAGCAGAAATCTTATGAGGAACAGCGCAGGGTACTGGGCTTGTTCAGCCTGGAGAAGAAGAGGCTCAGGGGTGACCTTACTGCTCTGCACAATTGCCTGAAGGGGGGCTGTGGTGAGGTGGAGGTCGGCCTCTTCTTCCATGTAACTAGTCATAGGACTAGAAAGGATGGCCTCAATCACAGAATCACAGAATCACAGAATCACCCGGGTTGGAAGGGACCTCAAGGATCATGTAGTTCCAATCCCCCTGCCTAGCAGGGCCACCAAACGTACACATTCAGATCAGGACATAGAGCCATTGACCACCACCCTCTGTCTGCGGCCTTTCAACCAATTGCTTATCCATCGGGTCGTCCACCCATCAAATCCACTTCCCTCCAATTTGGAGATGAGGATGTGGTGGGGGACCATGTCAAAGGCCTTGCTCAGGTCCAGGTAAATGACATTGGTCACCTTCCCTTTGTCCACCAATGCCGTCACTCCATCATAGAAGGCCACAAGATTAGTTAGGCATGACCTTCCCTTGGTGAAGCCGTGCTGGCTGTCTCGGATCACATGCTCATTCTTTATGTGATCGAGCATGTTGTCCAGGAGGATCTGTTCCATTATCTTCCCAGGCACGGAGGTGAGACTCACCGGCCTGTAGTTCCCCGGATCCTCCTTGCTCCCCTTCTTGTATATGGGAGTGACGTGACCCTTCCTCCAGTCATCCGGGACCTCACCTGACAGCCACGACTTCTCAAATATGATGGAGAGCGGCTCGGCAACCACCTCAGCCAGCTCCTTCAGGACCCTGGGATGCACGCCATCCGGCCCCATAGACTTGTATTCATTCAGTCTAAGGAGGCACTCAAGTTGTGCCAGAGGAGGATCAGGTTGGATATCATTTATTCTCAGAAACAGTGGTGACGTATTGGCACACCAGCTGCCCAGGGAGGTGATGGAGTCATCATTCCTGGTGGTGTCCAAGAGACATGCAGATGTGACACTGAGGGACACGGTTTAGTGGGAAATACTGGTGTTAGGTAGACAGTTGGACTGGATGATCTTGAAGGTCTTTTCCAACTTTGGTGATTCTATGATTCTCATGATAATTAAAAACTCTCCTAGATTGCTGTGCATACCTATGCTGTAACTAGGGATCAGAAACTGTCTGTTTTTACTGTTTCTCACATTTCTTCCTTTCTATTGGCATTAAGCCATTACAAGCACTGACTTCCTACGCTCTGTGGTATGTAGATCAATAATTTTGTCAGTTTGGCTTTAAAGCTGCAGACTCTTAGAGCTAGTGACAATAATTTTTTAAATCTTAGGTAACTGGGAAACTCGTAAAATTCCTAAAGTAAAACAAAATAATGAAAGATATTTCTTAAAAAAAAAAAAAAAAATCAGTTTAATGCAGAACAACAACAAAAAAATTGTTGGACTTCAAAACACGATAGCCCAGTATCCTTTATCAACTAAGCATTATCAGCCCACATTGCACAAATGTACACATTATGTGGACATAACTTTAAAAGATTGAATAAGAATCTCTCAGATTTAATTTGATGTCTGCTTTCTCTGTTCTGGGAAATGGGGACAAAATAATACCTCTTGATTTTCAACCCCATGTCAAAAACACTGCTGACATCCCACTGATTCTAATGGACAACTGTCAATGAAGTATCCAAACCACATTCAATTTTCAGTGTAATTCACAGTAAGTCTCTTACCTAAAATACGAAAGAAAATCAATACTATGGCCTCATCAACTAGATGAATATTAAAATCTTTCATAAAATAATCTTTGCTGTTTAGAGTCTCTTTTCAGAGGTAATATAAAAAGAACTTCAGAGGTAATATAAAAAGAACTAGTTGGCCTACAACTCCACTTAACGCAGCCTGGAATTCTTAATATATGCAGATACTATGTAAAATATTTAAGAAAATTGAAGCTAGTTCGAAAATTTAAGAATTAACTTCAAGAGAAGGTGAAAACTGGCTTCTATCACTCTATACCACACAATGTCCACTCTAAGATACTAAGAGAGATAAAAAGAAGTAGAATCTAAGCTACTATCTGTCTTTGAAAGTTGTTTCCTGGAAGACATAGCATATGAGACTCAGTGAGAAGCTCACCCTGTGCTATCTGTATCTGTAAACAAGGGAGTTCAGTCTTCAGGACTGACAATTTGTTCATCTTCAGAACACCAAAATTCAATGATACTAAAAAGAGAATAGCAGTCAGTGGTAAGCATAGGCGGTTCTTTTAAGCTACCTTCAGAGAATAACATTTAAATATTGCCTTTGTATGCATGCATTTAACAAAAAAATGAAGCTTAGATGTGTACATTCGTATTTATACAAATGACAAACAATCTTGTAATTCTAAATATATCGGGACTTCTCACTAGAAATTTTGAGGGGTGTACAATCAAGTACTTCTTATCAAGACTCTTTTCAGCAGTATGTGGCTGTAGGACAAGAGGAAATGGCCACAAACTGAAGCATAGATGTTCCACACAAATGTGTAAGGACTTCTTCCCAGTGAGGGTGACGGGAACAGGATGCCCAGGGAGGCTGTGGAGTCTCCTTCTAAGGAGATATTCAAGACCCGCCTGTGCAACCTGGTCTAGGGAGCCTGCTTTGCAGGAGGGTTGGACTAGATGATCTCTAGAGGTCTCTTCCAGCCCTACAATTCTGTGACTCTAAGATGCTTTGTATTGTACTAACTAATTCTGTACGTAAAAGCATCACAGAAATTAATAAAAGGTGGCAGTGCCGAACTGCTCTTGAAGCTGAAGACAGCTTTTGCAGCCTCAATAACTGAAATAAATTTAGAGTGTAATAGGAGAGTAAGTATTCTAAAAAGTACTTTGAAAGAGATAGGTACACTTTTCAGATATGCCCTAACTTCATTCTGGAGATCTTTTTTTGCACACTGTCACAGCGTGCCACTGGAAAAAATCTGGTAACATCTTCTGCTTCATCGCATACAAGACTTGTTAACAAAGGATTTTAAAAGAGCAAAAAACAGAAGAAATAGAGAAATCTTAAGTTTAGCTTGACGTTCTTTTAAAACCTCCAAAAAGCAGCAGAAGAAACAAGCTTCTGTATGATGTTATTAAAGTATTAAAGGTGTAAGTCACAAGATATTCTATCTGGCCTTCATCAGTCCATTATAGTGTAGGTTGGGAGGGGTTTTTTAGAGAATACCTGATGCAACATCTGTTTCATTTATTCATTTATTCTTCAGGGCAGTTACTTATTGCACAGATGGGAATCATTATAAACAAAGAGGGTTTGTTTTCAAGATGGATTTTTTTTTTAATTAAAATTTCACAAATTTCAAATACAAATAGATACTGAAATGTCCAACTGGTCTGCAGGTATTTTTACATGGCAGACAACTTACTATAAGTGTGGCAAGATGGCAGAAAGTTCAGAGAAAAAAAAAATTAAAAAATTTTCATAAAGAACACTTATGATCCTTGAGAAGACTGAAGAGAAATTAATAGAAAAAGTTTTTTTTATTTGTTAACTAGTATTTCTTTCACTCTTCTCTGGGCCAGTATAATCTTACAACTCAAAGGCTATGCACTTCAACTCCCAGTTAATGTAACTATCTCAGAACATTATGATATGGAGCATTTTAATTCTTCTCACCATCTAGTGCACGTACACAAACACTGCCAACTACTTTCAATACTTACACACCAGAAAACAATTAAGAGAGGGTCCACACAGAACACAGCAAATATGCAAGCTTATTTGTGAGCCTACACAGGCATAAGCTTCTGTGAGTTTGTGGGAGTTATCACAAACACACATACACACCCACGTGCAATCACCAAATAAAATCCAAAGGCTCTTGGAAATAGTTTTCCCCCTTTTTTTTTTTTCCCACACGAGTTATCTTTAACAATAATTAAAGATTTTCCAGTGTCAGTTGACACTTTATACAGTTCATTCAGTGAAAGATGGCTGTGAATCACCAAGAGTAGGGAGCAGTTGAACTAGAGAAACAACACAGCATTAAGGAAATAGATTTTCAGATATTCTATTTTCAGAATATCTATTGGTAACATGAAACTATTGTGAATCAAGTATACCAAACCCTATAAAATAGAAATGAGAGACAATGCATTTGTGAATGTAACTGCATAAAACTATTAGAACAAAGCAATAGGCCATGGCATAGCTTTCGTAACATATCTTATTATACTCAGCTCACTTTATTTTTAAGTTTTACCTTAAGAGAAAGTTACTGCACTTTCACTTTTGGTTAAACTATGAAAAGATAAATGTAAAATGGGAGATAAGATATGTAATATGGGACTTTAAGATAAAGAAAGCACATCGTAGAAGAGCAAGATAACTTGCTGAAACTCATAATCTAAACCAGGTTGCCTCTTAAGAAAACAATGTTGTATTGCACAGTGTTCAATAATACCATTGGTTAACATTTCAAACTCTTAAAAGTAATCATAAATAACTTGATTCATAAGAGCTGCAATTGAACACACAAATTCTGTCAGCTGCCATCTACAAGAATTTACCATATTTTACACATTAATCCAAACAAACTATGCACCATGGATAAAACTAACAACCTACTTTGTAACCTCCGTGTAGGACTCTCGCCATGGAGCTGTCTTCGTGGCAAATATGGTGAGGGATGGGGAAGTGGCAATGAAGAGACATCATGTGTTTGAAGTTTGTACCAGTGAGGTTCATCATCTAGTAGTGCCGTCTCTAACTCAATAAGAATCTAAAAGAAAAAAAAAAAAAGATTAAAATAGGTAACCATTATATAACTGCATTTTAAAATACGAATGTTCATAAATTTTATTCTGTTATTCCCTTACTGTTAAGGACTTTGTCTTTTAAGTTAATGCATTTGCCTTTTAAAAGTGTTAAAATCCTGCACTTTATAAGAAGGCATTTTCTGTGCCTTTCTATACTAAATACACAAATAAAATTTTCACGTGGCCCTTATCACCTTACAACAATCTTAACTGTATTCAAACAATTTGTAGAGAGTTAGTCAGCAACATTTCAATATTCTGTTAAAATAAAAGCGTGTGAAATGCAGATTTTATTAAACATTTCTCAAACAAATTGAGAGACTGTGTGCATCCAATTACTAAAACAGACGAAATACAGAAAGAATCTCATATCAGTACTATGTGCCAAATACAACCTAATGAAATAAGGACAAATTCACAATTTTAAACATCTTTGCTTTACTAATAATTGCTTTATTAAAAATTACTGTATCCTAAATATGAGTATGTGGACTAATCAATTCCTGTGATAAGTACCAATAATTGCATACCTCTCCTAAAAATTCACTTTCTTCCTCCCGAACTCGTGCTTGGTCCCAAAGAGTAATTTCTAACATCCGTTCTCTAAACTCTCTCCGATGAACTGGAGAATAAATGAATGTCTGGTTCCACTTGGGTTCCAATGTTTTCTTTACTGTTTTTGTTCTTCTTTTATTTTTATCACTGAAGAAAAAAAAAAATTAAATATAAACTGTAAAAAACGTATCATGAAGAGCAGCAAATCTTAAACCAGCAACACGTTGTATAACGTTATGGAAATACTCTAGTAATGTATGTCAGAGTTTGTTCATGATACAGTGAAGTTCAATGTATGTATTGGGGACAATTTGTAACTTGATATTAAACTCTGTAGTCAGCTGATTTCACAGTTTGCACGTCAATTCCCAGTCTAAGAAATTCCCTCAGAAAAAAGAAATTGTTTTCTATATTTGTTTTGAAAACAGTAAACATGGATTTTTCATAAATACATGTATACTTCTATGGACAGGATTCCCAAGAGTCGTGGAGCAATAGTACCATGCATGTGCAGACAACGCTGGACACAGCAAAAAACTGCATTTCAGATAAGTAAGCCAGCTAAGACACCAGAGGCCCTGGGAATATGTTACATAAGCTCTTCCAGCAACACTCAGAAACAGTGGTCTCAAAACAGTTTCCAAGACAATCCTTTGGGTCACCAATTTGAAGGCAGATCTCACCATGAGGCGAGCCTGACTTTTTGGAGCCTTATGCACGGCTACCGTGGGAATCCTGGGTCAGGCTCAAGGGTGTTGCTGAGAGCAATGTGTTTTCCAGAATATTTCGGCTTGCAAGAACTCGTATTTTCTGATGAAAATGAGTTTCACTACAAAACACCCACACTCCTTTTGTTGACAATACTGAGAAGAGTTCTCAGAAAAATGCTTAATATTAAACCTGCTGATTGCCACATATGCAGCTGTGGCATTAAAATTAATGTGGATTTTTTAATATAGCAATGAAGTACTCGCATACTTTGGAAGTACATGCAATCGTAATGTAGTTACTATATTTATGAACAGTTACTTAGAAACTGGGTCAACAGATTAACTAAGACATAATATTTTGGGACACATTATTAAAGCAAATAATGCTATTATTGTATTACGATAAAAATTCATTTACCCTTGAAAACTGAAATAAGTTACACTGGACAAGCTTTTCCGTTCAAATCTGTTTAATCAAAGAGAATTTTGTATTTTCATCTAATTAAACGCTTCACTTATTTAAGCATATTTTACCTCTAGCACGTTTTCTTCTCTTACACAAGAAATATATTTTGCTTACTTAGCTTTTACTTCTGAGGAAAATAAAATGAATTTTCCTGCCATATGACAACTTGCTAATTGTTACATATTTGATAGAAAACACGTCATAATTTCAAAAAGTTCTGAACATTTTATATGAATAGGAAGATGAACTAATTCTTGTGAAACACCAATTACTATTAAAAAAATACACCCATTTTGGTCGCAAATTTTTTTCCTGCTTTGAATGGGAAAAACCAGCCAGCTGGTCTGATCGGTCTAGAAATCTGTGAACCTATTTTTGCAGCATCTTCTTTGCTCTAGACAGGAATAACTGTCATAAGGAATACGGGTATTACAGAACACTAACAAAATGCTTTGCAAATAACTGTTTCACATGCAATGTTGTACACCTGCCTTTACTTTTCTATTCAGTATTTAACAAAATAGCCACTAAATGTCAGTTAATATTCAATGTCCAAAGACATGTTGTTGTTACGTAGCATGCTCTATTAAGGAACTTCAAACTGTAATGTTTCCATAAGTGTATGACAGGTAAGCTCAGCTAATTCTTATTCAAACACTTCTTGTCTGTTCACTTTACCTTCTGTCTGGAAGAAAGTAAATTTTAACATAAGGATTCCTTGGTCTCCCATCTTCCCTTGAAGGAAGATCCTTTGCTCCCAGTATTGTCACTATTAACTGATGACCAACCTTGTCGTACCACAGTTTTATCTGTAATGAGAAAATATTAATTAGTGGACTCATTTCTAAAACAAAGTACCATATTAATTTTTAAATTAAATTTACTCTTTAGCTACTATTTATATTGGTTGCTTAAGCACAAAATATTGCGTACTAGTTTGCATTTGTAGTAAAGCAGAAAAATATATTCCTACTATAATAGCTTCAGAACGTACCTGGAGTTACTCATTTTTAGAACCTTGTATAATGAATACATTATTTCATACTATTTTTTTCTCATGGTATTAGGGTTAGGATTATTGTTCCTTGGCAGCATAATGCATTACTTAGTAATGTAATGTATTACTCGTATTACTGATGTACGGCATTCATATGTATGCATTTCTAGGTGTTTTATGCACAATGAATGAGTGAATGTTTATGCCCTGCTGTGCTGGAAAGACCATGGGATAAGGTAAAAATAACCCCCAAAGTTGTAAGAGAAAAACAGGTTCAGTAGAACAACTCTCTTCCCAATCAAATTCAGCAACAACAAGGCAAAAACTAACATTACTAATCTGTGGAAATCATTATTAAACAGTCTTAGACGTTGTCTAGCAAACATTTTCACTATGTTCATTAAGCGCTGCTGTTTAGCTATTCTAGTTTGAATAATATAGCCGCGAATGTATCATTCAAGGAGAGGATACACCTACTTTACAGCACTAATTCTAACAGGGGATATGGTGCAGGTAAGGCAAAGTAAAGCTTTTCAAACAGCCAGGGAGATATTACATGGGGGTACCTCTGAGATAGTGTTAACTGCAACTGACAGAGAAAGCTCTCTTCATGGCCAGTTTGATGGATATTTAAAGAAGTTTCCTCCCTGAATTTATGGGAATGAGAGTAATGCCTGGCTGCACAACAAAGCAGAGTACCTTTAGGCACAAATAAACTCTAGATAAGGTATACGTCAATAAACCCCAGCTAAGGTAAACATCAGAGATACATGCACTTTCTGTGGAGCATTATTTCAGATACGGGATCTTCATCTGCTATACAGCTTCTCATCTTCAGCATTTCAGTGATTTAGAGAAAGGTCTTGACACAATTCTTAAGACTTCTGACCAATCAACAAGAGGCTCATTTAGCTTTCTGTTGTTCCTAATTAATGAAGTAACTGAGATGACAGTAAGACATACCAATTCATCTAATGGTGGGATTGTACCTCTTCCTACACCATCAGAGTGCAGGAATACTTAGGTTGCAGCCACCGATGAACAGTGTTTGGACTTCAGAAGAGGGTGGATAGAAATCCACTACTGGAATGTTATTGGCCCTTCTACTGACTTTGTATGTTTCTGGTACCAGCAGTAACAGGGTTTTGTAACTACTGAAGTAGAAAATAGTGTGAGAGAAATTAATAAGTCTCTAGAGACATTTCTAGACGTTGTTCTTCCATGCCTATAAAGCAAGGGAATTTCTCTAAACTGATAATATCTGGACTACAGATCTGTTCAACAGATAGCAAGTAGAAAGCTTAGCACCAACAATATGAGCGTCAACAATTTGAACTCAAAGAGAAGCTTTGTTGACCTCTGCAGTGCATGTCAAATTACATGATCTCTGACCCTAAATAAACCATCCTCCTGAAGGGAGTCCTCATCTGCGCTCAAGCACTGGCTCGTCCTACACACCAAGGGGAGTTGCACTGAAGAAAATCTTCATCACCTGCCTTTTTCAGCGGAAAAATTAACCTTCCTTAATCAGAATCCAACGTATTTATGATCCACAAACTCAATGAAGTTAACATAATACACACCTAGATGCAAAAAAAAAAAAAAAAAAAAAAAAAGCAACTACAATTATTTACTCATATTTAAGCTAAATATTTCTTTGCTACAGTTGTTTGACTGGATTTTTGCAGGAAGACTTTGCCAAAATGGTTTGGAGAATGAGACTAAGGGGAATGTTAAATCATCTAACACTATGTCTTTGAGATGCTCTATTGTCTGTGTTTTGCCACAAGAACTCAAAATTTGCACTAACACACATCTAATACTCTTCTATTAATACTCTGATAAAATTTAAAAAAAATATATGCATAATAGGTATACTGTCCCAGTAATTCTTTACTGGCCAGGTCAGGAGGCAGAATTATGACCAAAAATGTTAACACTCATACAGAAAAAACACTTGTAATCCAAGAATTAATTTGGATGAAAAGATGAGAAGGAAAGAAAGCTAGAGTGCAAGAATCGATGAAGAATTCCTTGGAGGGGATGATGGGCTTGCATTCTCATGGGTTTAGAAGAAGGAAGATGAGAGCGATAAGAAATATTACAATGACTGGAAAAGTAAAATATAATGGATGTTTCTTGGTGGAACACAAGAACAACTGAATCATTGACATCAGGGACCAAAGAAGAGGGGAAAAACTGGACTGGATGAGAAAAATTGAATGAGTCAACAAATGAGGAACAATCCAGGTCCTAACTGGCACAGAAGGCATTGCATAGTTAGATTGAGATTGAAGAAAATACGATAAGAAGTCAGGACAGGAAAATGTAAAAGCAAGTGAGAAAGAAGGAGTTTGGGTAGCATACTGAATATGAAAAATGGGTTTGGGTGTAGAACTGACCTAATTCTGTCCCATTTGCACATGCCTTATTATGACATAATATCCAGATGGATGGTATTTTCCTCAAAGAAGCTTTTCTTTTCTACTCATAAAAAGGTCAGTTAAGACCTTTGTAGCCAATTGCAGTCTGATTCCACCCCTCCTTCTTTCCCAGAGGCCTTGTGTGTTGGAAGGGTGTACTATTTATAAATTACATGTTCTTCACTGCCTGGGAGCTTGGGCTGAGGCTCTGGACCCTAAACTGAAGTACTACAAAGTGTTTGAAGTCTAATGTATTACATCTGAACAATGCTTATGTCACTGAAAAATCAGGTGCTCGTTGTGTCAGATTTTGATGATAAAGTCTCAATTCTTTATTCACAAATGCAGAAAAATCATAGAATCATAGAATCATAGAATCACCAAGGTTGGAAAAGACCTAAGAGATCATCCAGTCCAACCGTAAAATTGTAGTACACATCTGATAATATCGGATGAATTTCATATAGTGAAATAAATATGGGATACCATGTGTGTAACAGGAAAGCTGGTGAGAAAATGATTTTTTTTCTTTATAGTTTTGTTAAGCAGTTTGTAGAAAAGATTCTTAACACTACAAAGTGAAGAACATTAAATTATTCAGTCCTCAGTGAGGAAGACTCACAAGAAGACTCAAAGGCATGCACAGGTACTGTGATGCTCAGCACCAATAACTTAAGCAGCTGAATAACAGAGGAGAATCTACAAATCTTCAAGTAAAAGCTTAGACTATTTAAGAAACTGTGACATGTGCAATCCTGATCTAAATGGGGGAAGGAGAAAACCAAAACTACAGCACAGAAAATGCATCACAAAAAAAAAAACAAGATGGCTGATGAGCTGGTGCATGTGTGGACCAGCAGAACCCATAAGAAACATCCCGAATACAACTGTGTCAACCTAGATAATTTAGGATTTCAGCAACTAAAAAGTACTCTAGTCAGAAAGTGATTTCATCTGAAGGCTTTCTAGAGATTTTTTTCCTTAATGCTGAAGTCCTGGAACTTATAATTAGCCATACACACGCTCCCATGCTGCCCTGCCCTAGGCAGATGTGCACCTAATGCTTGACTAAATTTCTGTTGTGACCTACATTCAGGCAAACAGATATCTGAACACAATAAACCCTGAAACTGTGAGATGATCTGTCATCCATAGAGCTCAGCAGATGCTGAACTCCTGGAGATGGGCTTCCAGGTAGAAACACCTGATGTACAAAGCAGAATAAACAAGAATACTTCTGTAGACAGATGATGTAGGTACCTCTTAGGGGTAGGAAAGTGAGGGGGACAGGGCTGAGAGTCTGGTCCTAGTTTCAAGAATTCTGATTTTTATCCAATACTGATACAATGCAAGATCAATGCACATTCTAGTTGGCAGGTCTGGAATCTGATACACTAAAATTAAGCTTCTTTCACTATAACCACATCACACACTTGTATCCGTGACCACAGAATATCTCAGCTTCACATAAGACTTCCTGCTCCAGAGAAGAAAAGGATGTTAAAGGCATTTCTCTGAGAGTCAGACTTAATTTCAGTAGCCTAAAAAGAGCTTAAAACAAAGATGTACATTTTCTGGAATGAGTTTCCCACATATAAAACATTTTATAAAAGCTGACTGTTGATGAATTCTAAGAAATAAGGATGCAGGAATCTATTACTGCTGTTTGGTCTTCTGCAAGCTCAGAAGAAGAGACAGACATCTCTCTCTGGAGAGGTGTCTCACACTCTGGAGTAGCCTAAGTTTCAAACAGACTTATGGGGATGTGTCCCTTATTTGGGCTAGATCATTCTCTGCAGATACTGAGGTACCTGCTTCTTTTCTTCAACTGTCTAAGTCCAGGATCTTCCACAAGGCACCTCAAGCTAGTATAAATTTAAATCTATAAACTAACCTAACAAATTCACTTTATTAGATTTCATCCTTTTTCAGATCTTGTCTTAACTAAAAACTTTTTAATCAATGTAGTAATTAAGATCAGAGTTCTAGAAAAAAAGTAATCATGTAATTAGGATCTATATTCTAATAAATATGCATAAGGGAAATCAATTATGAAAATCTAGATAATATTATTGTCATTTCCCATATTCCTCTTTCATGCATGCTGACTGCTTGAATGCTTAACTAATTCCAATGTGGTTTTGTGTAGTACACATAGAGGCACATGGCATCATAAGTGACAACTTCAGATTTAAAAACAGAATACATTTATACATTCTGCTCTATATTTTATTTATTTATTTATTTAGGTCTTACTTCATGAACCTCATGGACAAGAGAGACAATTTTTACCATTGGAAGTGAATGCCTGCCCTGCAGCCTGAATTTTACCACCCCAGCCAAAGTACCACTCAAACAATGCGAGGTTTGAGAAACTGATGACAAAGCATTTTTTTTCTTGTGGTTTTCATTACAATATTTCATGTAACCTACATAGCTGCTTATTAGCATAATTCTTTGAAACTGAGATACTATTGTTTCCTTTTTTCCACCCCCCCCCACATTATTCTGAAATAAGAGATACACCAGCAAGATATACAACTGAAGAAAAAATGTCTCAATTTATCTTTGAAAATGCTTGAAACAATTTTATTTGGACTAAGTTTATGTAGACAAAGACATTGCTCTGGGGTGGTAAAGTCCCTAGTGTAGCTTAAGACGAGCTTCGGTTGCTTTTAAATCTACCTCTAACAAATGCTGATTACTCAAAGTTGCTAAATCTAGAACTATTCTGTTTGCTGCTGTACGTATTGGAACAAATACAAGAAAAGACTGTTAAACAGAAGAGCTTCTGGGATCTGAGTGCAGAAAATTATGAAGGTATTTAAGTATTTTAACCTAGGTATGTCTCACATTTCTTTTTTAGTGGCTCCATTTTTTATTTCAATAAGGCCAAATAGATGCATGCATTTATCTTCATGTATGATTAAAGATACCGATGTTCTGCACTGAAACAAAAAAAGACGTTTGAAATGACTGAAGTTAGAAGTAAAAATAGTAGTTAAATGGCAACTATGGGTCAAAATGAGGCTCCAAAAAATGAAAGATGCCACAGTGAAAACACATTCATGAACATATGATTCTCTACCAAGATACTGCAAAACATCATCCTGTAAGAAAATTGCTTATATGTTAAAAGTAATCTAAAAGTTCAAGAAATAGATGTGCACGTTTTCAAGTGCTGTGTAAGTAGTAAAAGTTCAAGAGAAAGGTGAACGACTGGGGAAAATGAACTTGTATGTTTTTCCTTCCAGTAAAACAAGGTTAATTTTTAATTCATCCAGTGATACAAGAGACAGAGTAAATGAATTGAGTGACACAGAGACAGAAGTGCAGAGGAGGAACTTGTGCCAGGATCTGGGACGTACATCACCAGGATCAGTTTCAGACTAACAAGCAGAGAAGACAAGAGTAAGAAAAAAGATATGCATTTCCTGTCAAGAGCAATGAAACAAAGGTATAAACAGAAATGCAAGAGATGCTTACTCTTACTGAGAATTCTACAAACACAGCCATAGCACAGCCCAGAATGTAAAGTATACATTCTGACAACCACAAACAACAGTTCAGAGCTCAGTGTAAGCTAATTTCTTATGCCAAAAAGAAACCAGAGTTCTGCACTACCACTGGACTGCTTCTAACACCTAAGTCAGCTTGTTTAAAGTTCATCTCTGTAACCTGCATTATGGAAATATATTAGATTAAACCATCTCAAGCTACTATCAACCTTCCCTACAAGAAGCAGGCAGGTAGGGGATTTTGTTTCAACCTAGTCTTAAAGATGCTGCCATGAGGAACATTTCTCATAGATGCATACAATGGCTTCAGTTGGAAGGACTTCAAAACTAGTTCCAACCCCTAGACTTGTGCAGGGCTGCCTCCCACCAGATCAGACTGCCCAGGGCTCCATCCAGCCTGGCCTTGAACATTTCCAAGGATGGGGCACCCACAGCTCCTCAAGGCAGCCCATGGCAAGGCCTCACCTCCCTGTGATTGAAGAATTTCTTCCTAACATCAAACCTGAATCTCCCCTCTTTTAATTTAAAGCTATTCTCCCTTCTGCTATCACTGCTTTCGGCTTGGACAACTACTGAGATCTGTAAACAAACTTTTAGAGGCTCCTAGCATACAGAAACAGAACTGGAGCTAAAGATGGTTCCTATCTACAACAGCAGAAGCAATTTCTTTTCCTGGGTATTGCCAATCAAGCACTGAGCTTGTTTTATTTTCTTAAATTACTACCATAATCATTTGAACAAAGTATATTTTCCATTAGAGAACAGTAGAATTTAAGCAGAACAGACAATTCTATGTCTATTTCTTTATATAATGTGACTTAAATACAAGACTACTACAAGTAATTTATACATTATATTATTACAAGCAGCTTGCAGGTTTCAAGCATTTGTTTCCTTTTTAAATTGAACAGCTATCATATTATTTCTTAATTTATTTTGAACATTTGTAAAAAGAAAACAGATATTAAATGTCTACTTGTGTCATATACAATATTTATCTCTATTTCTGACTGGATTTGTACCCTCTTTGATTTCATTACCACAAGCAGAAGCCAGCTTCCTTAGTCACGTGAAGGGTTGTTTTAAATTTTTAACAGAAAGCATACTAACTATGTCAGTAGCTCACACTAACATTTATTTAAAAGAGTATTGTTGAGATATTATTTTTAATCTCTTTTTATAGAATTTTTATTCTAAATTTCTATTTAAGGACTACTTTAGGACAATAAAATAATGTGAAAAAATGTGCTTTATTAAATCTGATTCATAACCAAATCACTTCCTGCAGTTTTACTTAGAATTCTTTCAGAAATTTATATGAACTTTTTCCCATTTCAATATGAAATTTAAATATTTCATTCTCAGCGTTTAGATTCCCTCCTTTCCATCTTTCCTTGAGCAACTGAGCAAACATAAGGAACATTTATATAGCTCCCACACAAAAGATTAACAACTCCACAATGGTATTTCGTAAGAAAAGCAGATAATATTCTACATACAAGAAAGTGAAAAACATGCAGCAAAGCAAGATAAGCACTGCTAAATATTAGTAAAACCTACTTTTACATTAATCTACAGTACCTTACAAGTTTCCTAATGAAAATAGGCAAACAACTTGTACCTACATAAAATACCAAAGCTAAAGAATTCAGTAACACAAATTGAGAGTTCATTTTTTAGTTAAATTGAGTTTGGGTTATTTTGATGCATTTTTAAAATGCAAGGATGAGGTTTCATATGCAAAAATTTTGCCTGTTTAGACAAGGTACAAATTTATTTGCCTGTCTTCCACTCAAGGCGCTACTATTACTTGGAAAATGCAAAAAAGGATGTGTTAAGTAATGATAATGAATGATTTAAAGAGACATCAATCTTTATAGAATGACCTCAAACATGAACAGCATAGAATTATTTACTGCACAAACAGTACACACTTTTTTGTATGTGGGATACATAGCCATCAGGATTGTTGAAACCTGTGTGAGTTAAGTAGTGCATAAACAGCAAAACAAAAAGTAGCTGTCTCTTTAAATTGTAATTTAGTATTTAAACCCCATGCAGAACTTTACAAGCTGCTCACAAAAATGGCATGAAACTTGTTAATATGGCTTAAAGCAACACACTAATAATATGGGAAAACGGACTAGAATGTAACGTTTTCCTACTATGCATTTTCCATAACAAACAAAAGAAAAAAACACAACTTTAGTTTCTGTCAGGCAGACGAAGTCTTTACCTGAACCCTAGGAACAAAAGGCGTTGTTCTTCTACTAAGGCTTTGGCTCTGGTAAGCAAAATTAAAGAAAAAGCAATAAAACAAAACCAAAAAGGACAACACGCTGGAAACTAAAAGACCAAAAGTAAAAACAAAGACACACAACTATTACTTTAAACACAGCTTTACACCAAGGATGTATTTATCTAAACCAAAGTATTTTAGAGCAATGCATAAATGAAATCTGTAAATCTATTACCAAATTATATAAATCTCCTGAGACTCAAATTCTGACCTTAGGGAAGTCAGCAGGAATTCTGTCACTGATTTCCCAGGAACAAGGATTTCACTTTACAGGTCTACAGGTAACATTTACAACAGATTTAGAAATAACATCAACAAATGTAGCAGATAAGCAAAGTGTGATTTGAAAGTCGCATGGGAAACATAAGTTGAATTTGACCACCTATTTCAGAAAGACTGTAGATGCATATTTGGAGACAGAAACAAGCACAGTGCACACACTGACAGCTTTAGTTACTTTCTAGAGTAAAGTAAGTAAAAGGCTTTCCTTCCTTTCCAGCTTCGAGGGGCACTTCATTAAAAAAGCCCTAATACTTTAAAAATGATTGAAAGAAAGTGCTGTCTTGTATCATCATTACAGTGCAGAAGGTGCAATCAGTGTACTTCAATTCTCCAGCAATCATGACTGAAATAGCATACAGTATATACAGAAGATCCCAATATGAAATGAGATCTAGAACATAAAATAAACTTAGCTGCACAGCACTCATAGACTCATTTATAACCCTTGTATATGAATGCAACGCCTCAGAGCACATGTAATTTGGTGGATCTCAGTGGCTACACCAAAGCCACGTCAGTACAGGTAATGCTCCCAACTTCCTAGCCTCATTACAAACTCCAAGCACTCCATCTTTGGCTTAAAGCTAATGGAGTGGCACAGAAAGGGCACTGAGAGTGGGGACTGATCAGGAACGAAAGCATGCCAGTACCTCAGAACTGGGTGAATGGGTCAAAAAGGAACATGGGGTTCAATCACAACAATCCAACAGTGCTGTATCTCCTTTCCTCTCTGCTTGGTTTTCCTGAGATAATTTATTTCAAAGTTGAAGAAAGAAGCTATTGCTCAATATTCTCTTCAGCAAGGTCTGTATTGAGAGTATGGAGTTAGGCAGTGATGATCATTCTGCTAGTCTCCTTGCTTACTTGGCAAACACAGATGCTGGAGAAAACTGTTCCACAAAATGTGTGAAGTAATCTGTTCTCACATCAAAGCAGGAGTATATTTAAGACAATCTGACAGTCTAAACCATAGTTTTGTCTGATGTGCCCCTGTGCTCAGTGAGGTGAAGCAGCTGCATGTTGCTCCACTGCACAGGCAGTACTGCACTCACAAAGTAAGGCAGCCAGAATCAGAATCTAGTCACGCAAAATGAAAGCAGATCTTCAGCTTGCTTCTGCTCCGCATTTTACACATATTCCAGAATATCACAGTCCTAAAAGGGTCAGAATGTAACCCACCATACACCAAGGACCCTAACTGGCCATATTCTGTCTTAGAAATTGTGGGCTATGAGCACACTGTGTGCACTACCTAGCACTTTGCAGACTTGACTTTATGGGAGCAACAGCAATTTACTGGCCTTGACACAGAAGGAGGTGAAGCAAAAGAGGAAAAAGAAAAGGGGAAAGAGGAACATTTCTCATACTTGACCTCAGCCCCACAATACAATGACACATTATGTCCTTCAAACACACAGTATCTGCATTTTTTTATGCTACAGATAATTAAAATAATTCATATACTTGCATTTTTATTAATTTATAAATATTATAAATAATGCATGGAAAATCTATTGAAACAGTTCTGTGATTCAACTGTATGAGGAAATAGTTTAGTTTTAGAAATAATACCACTTTCCTGCCAGAATTTCTACCAGTACAAAATGAAATGTCATTTTATATGTATATGCATTTACAGGTTCTTATAGCCATGTTGTCAGTCTCTAAACCTAGCTATCACCAAATCATTCCAAGTTACGCTTTTCGTGCACACTGATAGTAGACAGAATGCAGTAATGAAGCAATGAGAACCACCACACAAATAATACTGACTTTTTCAAAATGACATTAAAGGAAAAATCAGTGAAAAAATAAAGAAACAGGATTCAAATGAAGCAAAAAATAATTAAATAATATGTGCAGAGAAAAGTCAAGATATATCCCCGAAAGAATAATGTGGATTAAAATACCATAATAAACTGCAGAAAGAACAGATAACAAAATATTCATGTACCCTGGTAAATTTTAGCATCCAATAGTTTACTGTAGCTGCATAGAATTTGTTTCAAAAATACATGTTTTGGGTAAAATAATTAATAAAAGAAGAAAGAATTTCTAGTTATGTGGGATAGTTTTCTTTGTGGGAAATTATATTAGCCTGCTCTGGACAGTTACTGCAGCCAGAACAGAAGAAAACACGTACACAGAGAAATGTCAATAAATAGACATAGAAAACTGATCTGGTAGAGAAAGGTATCCCTGAGTAGTAGAGGCATCATGGCAACCGGCTGAACAACTACTGCAGCATAGGTCAGAACACATGAGATTCAGACTGGCAGACACTGGAACCAATTTTTGTTCATTCTAACATAGTTCCTAGGGTTTTCTTATTTTTTTATTAGGAGTTAAATGCACTAACATAGAAACTTAACTTTTGATTTAAACATTTACCTTAATATTTACCTAAAATGTTGTAATTCTGAAACCTTTAAGTAATAAAACTGCTTAATCACCTCAAAGGTGTTTTTGACTTCTCCATCTCTTCAAAAGACCTGTCAATGAAGACTGCAGATTGTGTACTGAATCATAAATGTCTTGGCCAATGAATACAAACAGATAAGAATTCAGTTGGCTTTTTGCATACCGGGACTTTCAGACCAAATCAAAACTCTGTTCAACACTATCTATCTATGCAGATAATATACAAAATCTTACAAAATGTCAGTCAAATCTTACAAAACAGTCGTGCCAAAATATGCATCTAAGCACAGAGACATTTTATTTTGATCTTGCTACATATGAAATAGTATTAAAAGGTTTGGCATTGGAGATAGGCTGAAATGAAGATAGGGAAAACTGAAAAGCAGTAGAAAAACTAACCCTACCACTGCATTAGCATTATGCTTCCTAGTACATATTGGACAGAGTAAATTCCAAAACACTGATCATTAAAAAAAAAAAAAAAGAAAGAAAAAGGAAAAATAAAACCTTGAGATCTACCACAGTGCCTGAAAAAGGATGCATATATCAAAGTTTCTATTCAAACTCTTCAGGCTTCCAATGTCTGTAAGTATCTCCCTCCACTTCTGCCCCCAACTCTTATTTCACACAGCTCCCCTAACAGCAGCCCATTGGAATGACACGGTAATGTCCAAAAGCACAGAGCACATTCCCCAGATCTCAACCATCCTTCCCTCAGATTCATCCCAGCTGTCTGCATTCAGCCACTACTTCTCAGAATGTCAGCTGATCCTCCATCTCCACTGAAAACAGCATCCTGCCCCATCTATCACAAGGATCCTGTACTCATTCTCCTGTCTCAGCACTCACCATAAAAAGCACATTTCCAATTACATTAGGAATGCAGCACTTTTTGTCTTTTGCATCTACCCAGCTATTTAAAATGAGGAGCATTCTTGTCAGAAAAGAATGACTGGAAATGTGAGAAACCAAACGATTGAAGCTCTTTCATTTTGCAGGGTTCAAAGTAAAATATTTTTTGAAACTTGGGGAGCTAAGTTCTTATAAAAATTCAGTTTTTCCCTTTGCTAAGGGTACAAAATTAAAAATCACGCAGTTTATCCTAATTTTTCAATACATCTCCTATGAAATTTCAGGGTTTTTTTTCCTCTAACTTGCCCAAAGTTTGGAAACTATTTAAAGGTATAAAATGAGAAAGTAAAAATTCAAAAAGTGATAGAAAAATTACTTATGGTGCAGTTTTCAAAACACTTTAAACTCCTAATCTGAAATGTCAAAAATTGTAACTTTCAAAACTAACTTGAATATCGGTTTTCCAAATTTACCATTTGGAAAGAAACAGTTCTTATAGAATACTTCTGTTCCCTTAAATTTATCTTTTTCTAAAAATATATTCTGCACCCCATTCATTCTAGGGGAAATTCCTGTCATGTGCCTCACTGCAATCTCTACACACCATCTTCAGACACTGTGAGAGCCACTCTTCCTCATAAAGCAAAAAGTTTAGCACCAGTCTCCAAAAAGTAGTTGGGGCTCGGTCGTGCCCTTAACATGCCACCAAAACACATAGATATTGCCAACATTTCTTTAGCTGGTGAGCTATGATACGTAACCGAATTTTCAAACCGCCTACTTTAAATACCTACATGGAGACAGTGGGAATTTACTTTAGAGTTACTGAGCATTTCTGACCTCAGTGGTAACCAGCTGGAGCTGTGTGTTCTCAGAAAGCAGCTGCTTTTTGAGGGAAATGAAGAAATTGTGTAGTAGGGCATCTTATATAATCACATGAAGTATGTAAGGCAGTTACAAGGAGGACAAATGTAGGAAAGATCTTTTAAACATTTCCTAGCATTATTTGGTTTCTTAATATGAAAACAAGTGCTATAAACTTATTAATAAAAGCAATAATATATTGAAACAAACAAAGAAACAAAAAAATTGATTGATGCCTTCATGGCTTAAATGCTGAATTTACATGCCATTTAGAAATGTAAAACAAAGTTAATTCTGTTCTTATCAGTAAGTTAGAATACACCTCCAAATCTCATTTCAAGATGCAAGATCCTTTCTAACGAGAAAAGCAAAAGACTTACTAACTTTGCTAAAAAACCCTGAGAAAGTCAATTCTGACTGGTTGGATCACGGCGTCTGTGCATTGGATATCTGAGCAGCTAACACTGTATCTTGAATTTCAGGCTAGGAGCTAGCAGCCAAAACTTATTGACAGTGTAATCTTTTATGAAATTTAGCTGAAAGAGATTTCTTTCCCACCATTTCAGGTATCCGCAATTTTTCTGTCATGTAAAACTCTACTACTTTTAGAAACCTGATTGATAGTTCACATTTGTGTTCCATTCTCATTGTATTTTGTGCAGCTATAGTATTCTGCACTCTGCCAATCAAGATTTATATTTTTCAATTTATCCAAAGGACTGAGTCTCTCAAAGCAGTTAAGAATGAAAGTTTGAGAAAATTAAAAATTATACATTGTAGATGGCTGGTCTGATGAGGAAAACAAATAATGTCTCATGCATTGCAACATGGCTGCTGAACAGACAGAAAAATGTTTCTTCCTGTTCTCCATCGATACCACAAACCACTTGTAGAAGACTAGAAACAGTCTGCTTAGATTTTATGCATATTTTTATAGCCCACATATTATCTTAACATAAACAACTTAGAAGAAACATAAATGTGACATTTTCAAACATATTTAACATCAGTTTTGCACTGCTTCCATTCTGCTTTCCTCTCATTTTCAAACTGTAGCAGGCACTTCTGAAAAATCACACTTTGGAGTTGTAAATGCCACAGAAACGTGTACAAAACCTATGTCCTTCAGTTTCATACAAAAGAATTTACCCTTTTAAGGAAAGAATTCATGTAATGAATCTTTTTCTCAGTGAGAGTGAAGAACAAAAGTGAGTAACTTTGGTACAAATAAAATACAATTTACAGTAATAAACAATCATGTGATGTCTGGAGATATATATGAAAACTAATGCATAGGAAATAAGCAATATTAATATCTAAGAACACTGGTGATAAAATCTACAGTGCTAGAGTTGACGTGCATACACTCAATAACACAAACACAACTAGAGGCTAAGAACTGGTCTTTCTGAAAAACTAACACTACTGATCTAGCTGATAAGACAAACATGCATATCTTTCTCTAATTCAACATAATTTTTTTTAACAGATTTTCCAAAATCTGATAAAACAGGATGTTCCTTATGAAATGACGGCCCTGTCTGTACTGAGATTACAGTTTAACTGTTTTAACAAGGAATTTATTCTACAGATAGCTCAGACTCTGTAGTGAGAATTGTGTATGCTGCAAAAAGTACATTAATATTAATAAATGTTTACATACTGAAAGTTGTCCAGACAAGAACTGTGGAACGTCCCTTAACATGCCAGGACTCATAGGAGAAGTCACTGAAATAGAAGGTCGGTCCATTTTCTGAGATTCAAAGGAACTAGAACCTGCAATTATAAATAAATATATTTTTAAATGCTAGCAGATATACATTTTTTCACTATATCCTTTAAATAAAAAGGATAAAAATTCAACCAAACGTACAACAAAGCTTATTGTATCACCTCTTTATCTATATAAAAAGACCAAAGAATGACAATCTTCTAATGCTCAGATGCAATTAAAAGCTTTTAGGTTTATCATAACAGCAATAGAGAACCACTAATAGTTCATTCAAGTATTTGCCATGTTGATCGTGTCATTAGGTTGAAGGTCGAAAATTCTTTGTTACTTCACTGTGGTCAAAGGAAATCAGCTTTTGAAGAGTGCTTACTATCTCATACAATCACACTAATTATCAAATTTTTTTTTTTAATTAACAGGATATATATAATATATCTTGTGCATTTTGTTTCAAATCTACAGGGTCTCAGAGGACAACTTTTGACACATTAAAAGTTAAGAAAAATTTAATGGAAAGTTACTGAAGTGGTTTCTCACGTTATTATGTCCAAGTTTATTCCACTATATTTATTCACAGCTGCCATTTTAAAAGAATTTCGAAACAATGACAAGAAAATAACTCCAGGCTTAAACTCATCCTAGCAGATCTGCACCAAAGAACAAGCTATTTTTCCCACACAAAATAATGGTTCGGCCAATTTAAAGAGTGCTGAATGATCCTAATAAAGTATATGTATTCTGGTTTTAAATTAGATACCACTCAGGTTCTAAATAATGAACAGTTCACCCCAATTTTTAGTTCACAAGCTGCATAACAACAAAATAAGAAATTCAAAACAGCAATTAATGTTTTTGTATACTAATTATTATTGTGGTTTCCTTTTCAATAAAAAATAGCCTGAGCTTATAATCAAATGCCAAGCCTAAATCAGCATAGCCAGACTTGTGATAGTTTATTATTTAACAAAGGAAAATAGATCACACAGGAAAATGATATTGAGCCAAAGAGACAAGAGCTATACTGATTTTTCAATTTATTTGTGCTTACATGAAAGAGGATTTTTCTACCTCACAATTGAAACTTACTGGACTCCAGCTGTGCATGTGTGCTGTCAGGTATTCTGGGAATATCCCTGAAAACAAGAAAAGGAAGACAGGCTGATCCTTCATCTAACAATCATATTTATGTTTCAGTTAAAATATGACACTTCACAAGTCATCACCAAATGCCTCAGGAAAATCATATGACCTCCTTAACTGCCTGCAGCCACTGGGAAGATCTATCCTTTGTCCAGTATGAATAAGTTCATTGGAAAATTAAGACTACAGAACATGTGGTTTAGTGAATACAGGAGGAAAGGTGCACAGTCACAAATAAAATAAATGATTAAACACAAAACAAACAAACAAACAAACAGAATATAACAATCCCAGAGTTTTCTGTAGACAAAAGCCAGAAGCGACACTGTCACAGAAATACCTCATCGGATTACCTCAGTCCCACAGGACATATTCATCCTATGAGGGCCACACATTCCTATATGCTGTTAAAAGTGTTTTGGGGACATTTGAGCAACATAAAGCAGAGAGTCATATCAAGAACTGTGTTTAATATCACAGAGTGCATTTCAGTAGACCTTGTTTTTTAAAGGGTGCGTGCAGTTCACATGGCAAGGCAAAGACAGCGGTGGGGCTGCAGGGGCGGCCTCTGAGGGGCTGGGACTGTCCCATACAGGTTACACGTGGCTCCAGATGGCACTGAAATAGACCCACCTCCAAGCACAGCTGTGGCCATCAGCCAGCATGGCGGCACTTCTGTTGGAACATTTTAATAAAAAACTAAAAAATGCTGCACAGCAGCTGTGAGAGAGGGGAGTGAGAATGGTGAGAGAACAGCCCTGCAGGCACCCAGGTCAGAGGAGGAGGAGGGCAGGAGGTGCTCCAAGCAGAGCTCACCTCCCTGCAGCCCAGGAGAGGCCCAGGCCATCCCCCAGCAGCCCATGGACACTGTGCAGTGCAGATCTCCACCTACAGCCATGGAGGAGCCAGAGGTGGGAAAGGAGGGCTGTGTGAGCTGGCACCCTTGGGGACCTGTGTGGGGAAGCAAGAGAGCTGCTTGGCAGGGGACTGGCAGCCAGCTGAGGTCAACACCACAGAGGTATACATACGAAAATGAAGGGAAAGTTACAAGTTTTTCCAGTGATATCTACTGTCTCCCATAGTTAAAAGAACCTGTACTATGCAGACATAAAATTTATCTTGTGAGCTTTCAGAATGTGCTTTTCAAATATTTTTCAAAACTCATTACAAAAACAGGTGCACTAAACAGATTCAACTCTCTTTCTAACTGAATTGATGTGTAGTAGCCAGTACACTGTGTGAACAAAAGGTGCAATTGCCCACAAAAGAAAAAATCACTATCTCTGTTGTTACTAAGAAAAACATGTAAGAAACTTTCGAAGGCTACTGAAAAAGTACATATTTAAGCTTGCAAATCTGATGTTTGTAGAATACCAAATTATTGATATTTGTAGACTATCAAGGAAAGCAATACCTGCCTATCACTTCACAGTTATTATACAGCAGAATTATACAGCAGAATTATACAGAAGAATTTATCTAAAACATACAGATCCCAGTATTTCACAGTAGTGTGAATAGTATTTCTTACAGTGAATTCTCACTGATATAACCATAAGAGAAGGAGAAGCAGCTTTTGGCATCTCTCCACGTTTTAAGATATGTTCTGTCGCAAACAGCTTATATAGAATAATTACTAAAATGCAAAGCAAAATTTCCATATTCAGAAGTTGCAACTGTGAAAATAAGATGCATTTTAAAATGAATATTTCTGAGAATTGGAAAGCAGAAAAAAATTCTTGCATATATAACATATATATGTTTACAGTTCACATAGATTAACAACAATGCCGTCTGTTTAGAGTTTTTGGAGAAGACTCTTTTACATCTACTGCAAAAAGAGAGCGGGAACCAAGTGTGTAACATTTTTTTAGCCCCAACGTAGCTCACTTCTTCACATTACATAGCAGACAGTTAATGCCGAATAGGGCACCTCAAGAGCCCACATCAACTTCTTTCAGGAATTATAGGTTAGCTGCTATAGTGAGAGGAACTGGAGCACATGGTAACATCAGCAATAAAAGATACGATAATAAGGAAGGTAAATGACAGGCAGGAAACAGAAAAGTACTGAAAGAATGCATGAAGTTTCACACAATTAAGAGAATGAACAAAGAAAAGACAACGGAATATTTCCAAGATGAGAGCAAATCCTTGAAACCTGGCTATAAACATCTGTTTGGGAAATTATGAAAGATCTTACATTTATATGAAAGGAGTGTGAATCCTCCTCTTTGGCAGTATTTTTCTAGCAATATAATCTATTAGCATTACTATTACAACTCCCAAGGTTACACAAAGGTTTTTATAGATAAGGTAAGAAGATACACCTTTTCCCATGGAGAGTTTACAGTTCAGTATATATGCAGGAGATAACTTCTCATTTCACTGATGAGATAAAGTAATTTTTGTTACTACCAAGTTTGTTTAAAAGTATCAAATGAAATTATAATCCTAAACATATTGCATCTTCGAGTTAAATACATCCAGATACTATGCCTTATAGCTGAATTCATAACAACCTTCACATATGAAGGTAAAATTTTACATGCAGTTTTACTGTTTTCAGTATTTAAGACTGATATCCTGTGCACTAAAATTCAGCAATTTTTTTTTTTTTTTTTAGATCACATTTAGTACAAAAAAAAGGCAAAATTACTTACCCAATTGGTCTTGAAACAACAAGCTCCACTTGTGGCTCAGGTTTGGACTCTAAAATGATGTTATATACCTCCTCAAAGGTAGCTCCTTGTAGTAGCCTTCCATTCCATTCCAGCACTTCATCACCTATAATTTCAGTAAGAGCAATCTGCTTGTGAAGTCTGCTTCTGTGTACTGTACTTAAAATGACAATTTAAACCACTGTATTCTCAGTTTGCTGAATTGTGAAACCCGTGTTCTCAAAAAGTTCAGTCCTTCATTTAGGAAAATCCTAATGAAGGTCTTCTGCAGCTTGCTTTGAATGTATAAACTTCAGTGAAACAGCAGCATCATCAGTAAGACCTCTTTCTACTAAATTAGATACGGCTCTTACTTGTGTTAGTAATTGTGATTCAAAACAAAACTCAAGATGCTGTTTAGAAAATGCAGATCTTTCAAACAGCATATCTCACCTAATATCTAACTATTTTGAAGATTCATCTACATCTAGAGGTTTAGTATTTAGGGTTTAGATGGTTCTTCAGTTAACATTAATATTTCTTGCACATACTCCAGTGCAGCAATCCATGGTTTGCATGTTGGGATAGGCCCAGATCTTAAGAGTTTCTCAGTCATTTGTGACTGCTTAGGTTAGGTCCAAATAACATATACTCTATAAGTTGACAGGGCAGGACATGAGTAGAATATTGAGTATGAAAATGTGAACAAAACACGAAAATATGATTTTGAAGAACATGAGATTTTATGTATGTCACAAAAATAATAATATCAATAACTTAGTAACTGAATGTCTAGTTGATTTCTGTGTAAGGACAAACCTGGATGTGTAGAAAACAAGCCTGGATAACACCCTGAGAGACAATTACAACTGATGTCTGGACCCCTTTAGGAAGAGTCCAGATCAATGCCTGAGAAAGGGTGAATCAAGACCCTTCTCAAGGAAAGCAAATACTGGGCTCTGGCTTAAAACACGTAAAGCGATCTTCCTGTGCCAACTTCTAGTGTATGAAATGGTGATGTAAATTCATCTGAACTTGTTCCGTGAGATGGTGTCATAGAAATGCCAGTGCTTGTTCATCCCCTCCTAGTCTATTGCTGCTTTACTTAGTAATGAGGATTCGTAGTTTAAAAGAAAGGAAAAAAAAGGAAATCTGTCAGACTTGTTTCATTTCATACATGCTGAGTCCAAGTCTACGTCCAACTCATTTACCTTTGAGACTTGGAAATACTGCATGATTATAGCCACCCCAAAGTTCATCCTATGACAATTTGCAGTGAAAATGATTTTTTCCTGGAAAATAAAATAACAAAAATGATCCAAAGGATGAAACAAAACCCCCATGATGACAGGTTGAAAGAGCTGGGACTGTTCAGCCTGGAGAAGAGAAGGCTCAACGAAGGCCTAACGAAGGCCTGATGGCAAGATTTTAATATCTAGAAGGGGTTTGTAAGAAGGAAAGGGACAGACTCTTTAGCAGCGTCTGTTGCAGTAGAACATGGGGAAATGGTTTCCAACTAAAAGAGGGGAGATTTAGTTTGGATATAAGAAAAAAATTTTAAAAAATTACAGGCAGGTCTGCCATTAGATTCAGGACTGGTGATCTGCCTCCCCTCTTTTATTTTTCTCTTTTTCATTTTTCTCTTACAGTTTTTAAGTAATACAAGGTTTAGTTGAATTTTCTATAAAGTCACACAGCTTAGGTAGATGTAATTGCTGGGCTAGTACATTAGGGATACATTTTTTATAGACATCTCCTATTAAAGTTAATGTTTATTCCTCTTATGTACAGACCTTGAATGTTGTTTCATCCTAATCTAACTGGGGAGAATTTGCGAATCACAGGTGGGACATGACATTCTGCAAAATTTCATCACAGCTATTCAACATAATTTCCCTTCTAATTAAGCCCACTTTCTTGTCACCTTTACAAAAGCAGCTCCATATTATAGAGCTACAGCAGATACGTACCTGGTCTAAGATGGCCCACGGTATCAGCTAAGCTTCCTTTTTTAACTTTGGTGATAAATGCACAGAGTCGACCTGATTCAGTCATCTTTCCTCCTACTACCTGTTTCAAAGAGGAATTATTTTCATAGCATAAGAATTACTTTAACTTACTTAAACGTCCTGGCAAACAAAAACAGAATTCAAGGAATTCTTTGGTATTCAGGTGACCCAGGTAAAGCAAACACTTGAAAAAAAACACTAAAAGCGTAAAGACAATGCAAATACAGTAAGATAAATCTTTCAAACTTCCACTGTACCCCAAAAAGTACAGCATTGGACATTAGGCTGCTCACTTCAACATTTTTTAGATGTAAATAGTTACATTAATGTAACAGAATCCATGACATTCACACAAAGCATTAAATACATTTAATAAGCAAACAAATCCTCTTTGCGATGACAAGATATGAACAGGAAATAATTTTCAGTTTTGTGCATTTAAAATGTAGCATACCAATTAATCAGAGGGGAATAATCAAGAAACAGTTGCTTTTTTCCTAGTAGCAGATTTTGCTCTGAAGTGTCATTAACCTCCAAATGTTGCTCAGGTCATAAAAAAAGATAATTTATTTTTCACATTCCTCCCATCTTTTGAGGAACAGAAGTTATACCACGGTGCAGTGCTCAGCTCAAGACCGAACTGAGTTTGGTCTGCTCAGCAAGGATGCAATTCGTGCATTTTGCAGAGCAGCCATTCTCAAGAAACTTGTGAAAACATGTTTAGCCTTCACAAAGTGTAATTTTTTGAGACTGTCAGAGACCCTGTAAAATTCCTCTTGGTAACTACATGTATAACGTCTTTATATGGTATTTTTAAGAATAAGAGGATGTAGATATCTGTTTAGATCCACTATGTATTATGAGAATACTTACATTATAAAGGTAGCTACTTTAACTGAGATTTGTAAGTCACTGCACAATTATTAATTACCAACCTTCAATCCAAGCATTGCTCCTGAGTCTCTCGGCACACTTCCATCTTTTAGCCGCTTATTTAATAAAATCCGACCAATGAGACGGTCTCCATCTTTGGATGGCTGCCAAGTTACTGGATGCTATCATATGGTTGTAAAGAAGAAGACAGTCAATATGATTTAAAGAAAAATATTTCAGTAACAACTTTCATTTCCCGATACTTTAAAAACATAGTGAAAGTTTTATGATTACACTAATATTAAATGTATCAGAACGACAAAATTGTGCTGGTGAAGATTTATTTGGACATACAGTCCATCAAAACCTATTTCTAATGTTTAAGAACATTAGCAACTTTCCTAAATCCAATTTCTCAATATCAGTACTGATCTTTGCATCTTGATGAATAGACAGATACAGATAACAATACACAGTTATCTATGCACTGTAACAGTCCCATCAGAGTACTGTCAAAAACAACCGTAGACGTCAATATTAGAAGTAATATAGAAAAAGCACATGTTAGTTGAAAAGGAAATTTGACTTGAGACATAATTTCTCCTTTTTCTCCTATTCTAAACATGTCAGTTTTCTGTAAGACTGACAAACTTTTGCAATGTTTTACTTTCTGTCAGTACAAGTATATTAAAAGTTATCGAATATTTTTAAAGGGATGGTCTTTGCTCTCATTTAAATGTAATGAATGTTTCTTTGAATAATCACTTCACATACAGAGCATAGTTACAATCAAGATGTCATTATTCATGGAATCACAGGATGGTTTGGCTTGGAAGGAACCTTTAAGATCATCCAGTTCCAACCCCCTGCTATAGGCAGGGACACCTCTCTGTAGACCAGGTTGCTCACAGCCCCATCCAGCCTGGCCTTGAATGCTTCCAGAGAGTACGCTTTATTCCACTGCCATACACAGGTGTGGTTACACATATTGTTGTATGTTGGTGCAATTACTAAAATTTTAAATAACATTTTAATTTTGTGTAATCATAACACTTTTTCACAGATAAATACTACTTTCATGCTCTATTTCATGCAAGATTAGCAGGCACGGACAAATTTGCTTCCATTACAAGTAGTAACTCTAAAATGATGGATCATAATCTCTACCAAACAAAAAGCAGAAATAAAAATCACCAAAGCAGATAGTAAAGCTTTTAATTCTGCACAATACTGCACAAAAAAATGGCATGGCAACAAAACAAAAGAACAATCATGACAGTGAAAGGGAAAAAAGAAAAACAACTTTTCTGTGCAGAGAAACCCAATTTTCTCCTTTTAATTGGGGACTTAAACTATTAATTTAATTTCAGTCCCAGGAGTTTGAATGCAGTAAATCAAATAAGCCAATCAGTAGAATCCTTATTGTTAATTACTGTACACTTAAAGGTAATACCATGATAGGATATTATGCAACCATAAGAACAACGTTCCTTTGTGCCTCATGTTTTTTTCTTTGGCTGCCAAACAGTAAAAGCTGCAAGCATGCAGAGATTTTTCATTTGTTTTTCTTTTCTGCACCTTAAGAAACGCTACAGTGTCTCTAGAAACATCCTGTCTTCTATTTTATGCGCTATTTTAATGAGTGACAGAGAGCAAACAAAGACCAAGAGCAGGTTAAAATGCAGGCTCCATAATCTCAGTACCTTCTCGCTATGGCTATGCTCCTCGTTTAGAGTTGTGCTACTACACGTATCTACCCCAGAGTCTTTTATCTGAGGCTCAGACCATTCCAAGTCCTCTTCGAAAGACTGGTCACCAAAGCACACCATTCTCTTTTGTCTCTCGGATAAGGTGTTAGAATCCAACACAACTGCCTGCTCACTAGTTTTTCTTTTTCCCCTTTGACTGTCCCCTATAGATGTTGGATAAAAAAAAAAAAAAGGATATAAAAAAGAAAAACATGCAAAGGTGTAAATAAAACAAAGGAAATGTGAAATGATAAAGGAAACTAAGTGGTAAGGCTCCACATGTCTCACCAAAGACATTGGGGATGCCTCACTGCTATGCCAAGACGTATGGTCCAACCAGTTGTAATCCATGTCTCCTGCGAGAATCACACAGACAAGATAGTGCAGTAAAGGAAAAGTGGAAGAAAGGACAGACAAAGATACAGTAAAACTGTTAAGGCTTCTGATTATCCTGTCTGATTCATAACCTTTGCTAGCAGCACTTGCAAGGCACTTCCAAGAAAAAGTCAAGACGGTAACAACAGAGCACATGGAATATGAAATACAGTGAGAAAAGAGGTATGTTTATGTGTGCCTGCGTGTGCATACAGTTATGTACAGTGTGAAGCATCACTGATTCACAGTGTTTAACTGTTTCCATAAAATTAACTCCTGTGAACAAAATGAAAGGGCAAATTGCATTGTATTCGTAACTTCCAAAAAGGAAAGCATTTGATTATGGATCAGTTCTCATCATAACCCAGAGAAATGAGTCTTGTGTCCTGTATGAAGGAACTGACGTCTTTGCCTTCCAACACAAACCAGTGTTTTTTTGATCACTTCAACAAAAATACTTGAACAGTACGATGCTATTTTCAGCTGTACTGTAGAAGACAATTTTAGAAAGATTGAATGATCTGTTAGAATATGACAGATTGATAAGGAAAACAAATATACAACATATCTTTGGAATAGAAAGCATATGGCATTGAAATACCCAGATAAATGTCTAGTGGTTAAATATCAGGAAGAACTCTAATAAAGTACCTTTTAACTCAGAAAAAAGGTGTAGCATTCTGCTAAGACAGATATATATATATATATATATATCTTTTATAGAATCAGAATTCAACCTGTGTGGCAGAAAGATGACAGGAAGAAAAGTTCGAAGCACAGTCCTAAGAAGAGGTCTAAACACTGCTGTCCACAGAACTGAGGTGTGGTTCCTGTCTTTTAATAAAACGCTCTCATCTGTGCAGGGTACCCACACATGTTATTACTGTTTCTTTCTCTTGTGTATACGTATATAAAATATTATTAATACATGCTACACATGCTACATGACATATTTTGTTACTGTATGCTTTGGATGATTTCGATATTATTTTATGTGTGACAAAATGTTAGCTTTTCTACTGAATTTCAAAACCAAGAAAATACAAAACCAGTGTAGTTCCACTCTTAGTAGAGACCCTTAATGATACTTTCCAATTTCCATTACTTCAGAACCTGCTTTAACACTGCTCAACCTCTTCTTCTGAAAGTACACCAATACCTCTGTGAAACCATTGATTGGTCTAATTACAGGTGTAATACTTGTCTAGAAAACCTTACAAAAAGAATGCACAGATACAGTTCCAATAAACTCAACTGTAAATATATAACACATGCTACAGAAAAGAGCAATGAGCAACATGATCTTTTTCACTTGTTTTTTTCTAAAATACAGTATATCATGTTGAAACAAAATTAAGCATTGCCTTCATTTTAAAGAAAGACACGCATTGAATAATAACACAGTTTTCATTTTAAATAAGCACTTTTAGTTTGAACTTGCCCCAAACACTTTACAGAAACATGAAGCATGTTGCATATTCTTAGATGTCATAAAAGAAGTTAAGAGAGACCTCATGAAAACACTGATGTTTAATTGAAATAGTGAATGGGCTTGCTATATAGGTATGAACTGTATTTCTTGATTCATTGGAGGAAAGTTAATACATTAAAATGGGAAATTACGATCAAAACTGACAGTTCTGACTACTAATATTCTGACGACATTATGGACAAAATTGAGCATGTCCTGTTAAGGAGAAAAAGAAACATTCTTAAATCTAACTATATTTTGCAAAAGATACTGCTGCCAAGGAATTTTCAAAGCTGTCCAACCTTCAACTGCAAAATCATTGCTTCAGAAAAACAGAGTGAAAATTATCAGCGAACTCATAAAGATATATGTTTTAATGGATTAATGTACATTGAGATATCTGGAAGACGGCAGGAGTTCCAGTTTACACATTTTCTATTATATAAATCCTGTTTTTTAAATATATTTTGAAATTAATCTCCACCAGATCACAGTGTGGCTGAATCTAGCAAGGTCCTCTGTGCCCCTCTGGCACACCTCTGCCAGAGCAGGGGGCCCAGGCCCCCGGCCAGGCAGCTTCTGAACATCCCGAAGGAGGAAACCCCACATCTTCTGGGCAACCTGTGCCAGTGCTGCAGTACCGCACAGCACAGCAGTGCTGCCTGGTGCTCAGAGGGAGCCCCTGTGCTCCAGCTGGTGCGATGGCCTCCTGTCCTGGCATTCAGCACCACCGAACTGAGCCTGGCTCCATTCTCTTTTCACCTTCCCTCCACGTACTTATGGACACTGATAAGATCCCCTTGAGCCTCCACTTCTCAGTGGAGAGCAGTTCCAGCTCTCTTCCCCAGCACCTTCATCACCCGCATTGTCCCTGCACTGGACTTTCTTCAGTACATCCACATCTCCCTTGTATTGGACAGAGGATTCTAAGAGCAGCCTCATTGATGAAGACTAGAGAGATAGGGGAATTTAAAATGAGAAATAATTAATCTTATTACACTTGACTCCCATGACTACATGAACTAAAGGCACATGAGTCCATACTGTTTCTTCCTGACAGTTATTTTCTTTGTCGTTATTACAACTTCACTTCCCCAAACCACAGTCTGACAAAAAAGCTGCAATTTGGTTCCCTGTAATTTGCTACATAATTCCAGAAGCAGACAACTGAAATAAAATGGGCTTTCTAAGTAGAACAGTTAAAACAGATCATTCTTACTAATTCTAATTCCTGGCTATTTCCAAGAAATTATATTTTCATTGAAATGACCGTACTTAAATGAAGGTATCTACTGTCAAGAATTAAGAATCCACTGCTGCAAATTACTGGCCATGTTTCAAGGTTTTAAAATTCTCAGCCACAACAGAGATGATTACTTGCATTCCAAAAAAGCCAAGAGAAAAGAATTCAAAGGTACAGATATTACATCCTTGCTGTCCTTCAGTGAATGTAGCACTTTATCCACTCTTCAGGAAATTCTTCTGCATTCTGTATATTTGCACATACATTATGCATACCAATTGAGAAGGCTTTGCCAGTTCTTCTATTAATTCTTCTCCCCATATAAACTATGCACTTCTGCATGAACTTGTCCTTCTGCATGAACTTGTCAAGTGCTACATCTCCCATCAAACTTAACTTTCATTTACGTGTCTGTGTACAAAATAGGGAATAACTGAGAATAACTTCTTTTTCTTTTTCTTTTTTTTAACAAGGAATTAAGTTACTGAAAAGTTGAGGTCTCTGGTATGTACTCATCATAAAAAACATACCCAGATTTCATATACCTTAATTAGTAAAAATCATCCAGTCTTCACTTGCAATTTGTATGCCCATGATATATGTATTCAAGCAAATACTCAAGGACAGAAATCAAGTAGGTGCTCTGAAAGTGTACTCTGAAAGTAATGTACTATGAAAGTGATGCTTCCTATTTCCATGGAAACTGCAACAGATACAAAGAACACAGCAGCACTATTTGACAAAGCAAATTCTCAGCTATGAAACAGTCTTTCATCACAGTCACAGTCACCACCGTTAGCTGTGCATTTTTGCCAGCAATGGAGAAGAGCCTGCATGCCACACTCATAAACAAATGCATCAGTAACCCACTGTCACTGTTACCACTGCTGAAATGCACCACCCATTGGCACACTGCATTCACATCCACTGTTTGGTCTCCATCAACATTCAGCAAGCATCAATGAATGTCAATATGTGCAGTCTTTTCTTCACAGAGGAATTCAATCCCATACCTTTGCTTCATCCACACTTCCATGTCAGATGTCATTTTGTCAGATGGCCCCTCTGCTGCCATCACACAGCAACAACATGTAACAGGACACTGCTGGGAAGGCTCATCCTCTACTGCCATACCAACAACATCTGCCTCTGACATTGTGGGCCAATGTAATAAAATAGGAAGCATTACTTTTGGAGCAACCCTACGAAGTAGCTTTCCAGCAAGGGTACATTACAGTGGATATGTGTTACATGTATATAGGTTCATTTTATAGGTCTTTATGTGAGAAAATGTTGAGCTGTGTTGGGCTCCAACAATCTGACCTCTGCGTACCCACACTTGAAACACCCACGCTCTTTCAATTAGAGATACAATTTAATTTTTTCTTTTTAACTAAAGCTATCCAAAACAGAAATCTACATGCATTAATGCGTATGAATATGCTTGACTGATAACTAAATTTTCTGAAGACTTCCCATTCATGCAGTAAAAATAAAACGATTCTTTTCCCACAAAGTTCTAATTTCCCTCCACTTCCAAGAATAATATAATAGAGGTTGTAAGAGTAACTCCTTTTCCATCCTATTTCACAACTTTTTAATGGGAGTTCCCAAATATCAACTCTACACATCTCCAATTCTTCTTTTCAGTCAAGACATAAAAAGTTGACTTTCTCTTTCGCTCTGCTGTCCTTCAATAAATGTCAATTCTTCTAAAATTAAAATGGTAAGAAAATGAACAGCAATTTCATACTGTTTTATTCATATATGTATTCTTTTCCCTACTAGAATACGTACCTACAGGTTTGGAAAAAAAATGTCAAAGAAATTGCAAATGATAAAGCCCTTGCAGGTAGTCTAGATTTCATCCTTAATACTGCATTAAGAGTCATCTAAGTGACAGATAATAAATTTTATAAAAACAAATAAATGCAATCCAAATTGTATTAATAAATCTAATCTAATAAAATATATATCTAGAAGCCTAGTAGTGATTTATATTTCTATGAGACTCATATTGCTTATTACAGTCACACTTTCTTGGAGTAAAATAAATGATCTGATAAACTGATTGG